TTATACCTCAACATTTTACCCATTGTCAATTAAAAAAAGTATTAGCAAGGTTTAAACAACCATACAGCTTACAGGTCTAGTTTTAATTCCTTGCAATTACCTTAGATTAATAGAAATACTTTGGTTAGAACACACTGTACACCAATACACATCTCATCAAGGACTTGGTTAAAGAGGTCAAAATGAGAATCTATCCTTTAATTATATAGTAGATACAAAATATCATTACACCAATGGCTGAATGTGCTCTTTGTCGTTTTGTTTTTGCATAACAGATACATGCTGAATTCCAGCGCATAACAACTATCCCACTTGAAACGGCCTTCATGGCGCAGTTGGACAGCCATCTACCTCAGCTGACATCTGTCTTCCAGAAGAAGGGAGGAGTTGTTGGCCAGAAACTAGCCAAACATCTGGCGATTTTGCAAAAGGTAAATGTGTGTATACACTGTTTTATACAAATTGTCATATACTCTGTGGAGCAATTTTATGAAATGTACCTGTCTAGTACCGTATAGAGCCCCATTTGCCTAACAACAGCCTGGATTACTTGCCAGGTGCAAGAATGCAAGACACTTTTCTAAGGAAATCTGATCTTAATAATGCAATAGTGGCATACTGGTTAGAGAAGCAGGCTTGTGACTGTAAAGGTGCAAGTTCAATCCCCAGGTGGGGAAAGTGAAAAAGCAGAACCTGCCTTGAGCAAGTCACTTAATCCTCAGTGGCCAACAGATCAGACTGTGTTTGTACTTGGCAGATTCCAGGTGTGAACTGTGAAGAACAGAGCATTGCTCTTGGTGAAAAGTCCCTGGATGAGTAGAATTAGTAAACAGTGCTATCGCCCTAACACATTCAGACCTCTGACATTGTAATACATTTAAGTCACAATTCTTTAACATACTTTAGGCAGTCCATTTACATGTATAATGAAGTCATTGCAATATTGTTATTATTGATGTATTTAGAAATATTTTAATTGTAATTTTTTTACACAGGCAACAAGTGATGTTAACCTTAAAAGGGAAGCAATCCTCAAGGCACTTTGCATCCACCTTGGTGAGGATGATGGACATCTCATTCGGGAGTATATGGTGAGTCATTGTAATTGCATTTGCCAGTCACATGTAGTGTTTTAAGATCCTAGTGTCAGGCATCAATTTTAGATAATTATTTTTTACCTTATAAGAAGCATGAAGGTTGAGCATATTTATATGTATGAATGTTGATATTCATCAACAGACTAAAGCATTTCAAACCATCACCTTGTTTCTTTATACGATGAGGTTGGCTTTATTCATTGTTTTTCTTATTGTCCAATGGAAAGACCATAATCAACAATGTCTTAGTCCACCTGTCAATCCTCTCTGACTTCTGACACTCATCACCAAGCTTATTGGGTCGTACGTAAATCTTTAAAAACACCTCACACATATTTAGTTTGATTCAGAAATATATACAGTATGACCAGCTTTGTTTTAAGGGATTAATAGGTATGTGAGCAATATTACAAAAAATGTATAAGATAAAGTATGTCATTAAAATTACATATATTGAATGAATACATGTTTTTTCTTTAAATATACAGGACATCGGAGGAGATGACATCACCAGAGACCTGCAGAAATCTACCATGGGCGTATACGTCATCAACAAGGATGGTGGAGAACCTGGACATTATGACGACGTTGGGATTTTTGTTGAAGGACTAATCATTCTGGACAACATTGGATCTGTAGCCCGAGCTTGTGCCATCATGCTGGGAGTCATCTATACACTGAACATGGCTTACCCCAAAGAGCTAAGGTACTACTATGAATTCATTCAGAAAGTGCTCTTGCAAATGGATGGTGAAAGGCTTTCCCCCAAAGTCCTTGGACTGAAGAACAAGATACATGCTGGACTGTAGGATTTCTTCAGCCGCTCTTGTGAACCGATGCCACTAAAGCATTACAAAAACACCAGTCAAACCTCAAAGGTTGGGAGAAGAATGTGGAAATGTTGATGGACTTAGAAGACATGTATTACATGTATTAATGTGTAGGTTATATTCTCCTCAGCTGTGTAAGTCACATGCTTCATGTTACGTCAGGATTTATTCTCTGTCTGTTTCCACTGCACTTTGTTGCATTTCGTTTTGATCGAAACGGCAACTTTTTCTACCTTAGCCAAGCGTAAAACATTTTATTTTTTATATTGGCAATTTACATCTAGTTCTGGAGAAGAATGGGAAAATATTACATGTATTAATGTGTAGGTTATATTCTCCTCAGCTGTGTAAGTCACATGCTTCATGTTACGTCAGGATTTATTCTCTGTCTGTTTCCACTGCACTTTGTTGCTGTCATGGCCTCCACCTCTGCCTAGTCTGTCTCTCCCCATGCGTGTGTGTGTGTCCACAATCCAATCACCTCTGCTATAAGACTCCGGCCCTGACTCCTCCACTTCGCCATATCGTAGACTCTGTAACCACAGTCAGTCACGTCTCCTGTGCCTGCAGCTTCAAGCCAGCCTGACTCCTATCCTGTCTCCAGACCACCTCCAACGTTGGACCCTGTCCCGCTCCTCCAGGCTCTTCTCCCTGCACTCTCCAACCTGGTCAGACCTCCGTTCCCTTGGACTCCGTCTAGCTTCCCTGGCTCAGACCCCCCTGCCCAGTAATATTCAATAAACGTTATTATTGTGTTTGAAACTCCTGCCTCCTGTCTCTGCTCAGCTCCTGGGTTCCCTGCTAGCCTTAACAGTGGCCAGATTGTACTGTTAAGGCTAACAGGGAACCCAGGAGCAGAGAGTTTCAAGCAAAATAATAACGTTTATTGAATATTACTGGGCAGTAGGCAGGGGGGTCTGGGCCAGGGAAGCTAGACTGAGTCCAAGGGAGAGGGGACCGGAGGTCTGACCAAGTTGGAGAGTGCAGGGAGAAGAGCCTGGAGGAGCGGGACAGGGTCCAACGTTAGAGGTGGTCTGGAGACAGGATAGGAGTCAGGCTGGCTTGAAGCTGTGGTTACAGAGTCTACGATATGGCGAAGTGGAGGAGTCAGGGCCGGAGTCTTATAGCAGAGGTGATTGGATTGTGGACACACTCACACACGGTGGAGGCCATGACAGTTGCATGTTTTATTCGAATCAGAAGATGTTTTGTGTAAGACACATGCTTCATGTTACGTCATTTTGTACAAGATAATAAAGTAAGAGTATGTATCAAATATGATGTTTGTTTTTTATTTTAATATATTGAAAGTTAACATAGTAATAATGGCTGAAAATGTTTAATTAAATTCAACTTAATTTTTGTATGTAGAAATTAAACTATTGAATTGATCTGAATGTACAAAAAGAAAAAAGGTTACTGTTACATAATCCATTTTAGTATACTTAACATGGGTTTAGTGAGTACATTTTACTCGGAATAGTTGAGGTGAAAATTATCAGTATAATTAAATTGAAATTACTCAAAATAGTTTAACTGAAAATTATCAGTATAATTAAGTTGAAATTACTCAAAAATAATAAGTACAGTGAACTTAAAAAATAAATCTGGATTTAGATAACTTTGTTTTGTGCATCCACTTACCTTAATAAAATTAAGTAAATTCAACATAACAATTTTTTCAGTGAACGAATCGACGACTGAATTACTACATGCAATGCCATCCCTAGAAAAAGACAAGAATCTGTGGCTAGACTTCATTTTCAAGCGACATGTGCCAGAAGACTCCGGCAGATTTCTGCTTGTGTGTTCTAAACATTTTACCTCGGAGATATTTATGAACTAGATTTTTTTTCGCCAGACAACATGTCCGTTAAAGTTTAAATCTTCCGGACAAAATTAGAAAAGTGCCGGTCAAAGGTCTTCTTTGTTATTTATTGAGCTTTAAAACAAATGAATAACGACTCTATATAATAATATAAGAATAATACACGGGGACTCTCTCTTTTCCTCCCCCTCTTCTGACAGCCCAGCAGCTGATCAGAGCACGCTCCCCTCTCCTGCAGGGGGGCGTGGTCAGCTGCAGCTCATTTGCATTAAAGATACGTCACAGAATCAGCCCTTGCAAAAACAGGGCTGAGGGGGGGGGGGGTGGCAGGAGCTCCAACAAGCCGTTTAGGACAGAGAGTGAATACACATACTATACAGAGATGCTGTATGAGAAACCAATGTTATATAATAACTACCGTTACTGTAGTGCTATCAGGAAGCATCGACACCTGTGCAAGCACTTAGTTTAGAACTCGGATATATGAGATTTTCTGCAAACCTTTATGATCTAGTGTTTTCTGCATTCTGACCTGCAGCCACAAAGCCTTAAATACGAATAATATGAATGAGCTCCCTATCAGTCAGCAGTAGGTCTATTGTAATGTGCAGGAAGTGTCATTATATCCAGTCACCTGGAGTGAACCTGCAGTATCCTGCACTGACAGGACAAACTACATGCATAACCTGCTCTTCAACCAGGTTATCGGAAAACCTTCAGCATACACCAGTTTGTGTAGTTCTGGAATGTTCCATCCTGCATTAGAAACCAATGTGAGTTTGGAAAATTGCCCAATATAAATCTATTTTAGTAGACCTCAACAATGGAATTATGATCAGTGGAAATGGCCATGACATGGGACCTTTAACTTCATCAGGTCAGGGATATCGTGAGATGTTCTGTATGGGTGAAAGGATGTTATGTAGTAACAATTAAAACGAATATATGTTTTTCTGACAACCAGTTGAACGAGAAATTATTATATAATCAGTCAGACCATCATTCAAACAGCCCTCAAAACCCTTCAAACTTGCCTTCTCTTACTAAACCCCCTGCCCATTCCGCCAGGTTATAATGCGCTCTGTTCTTTAGTTTGTTTGTAGGCCTATTTTGTTTTATTTTTCCTACAAATTAAACGTATTATTTTTTTTGTATAAATATTATTATTATTGTTTTCTTTATGTTTTTGCAGAAGATGGAGCACGCGTTTTCACCGAGTGAGACTCCGTATGATTATACGATCTTTGCAGCCTGTGGGTCTGTGTTGGTGATGGTCGGCGGGTCTGCGGCGGCCTCCTCCGCACCATGCAGCCGTTTAAACCACAGGCTACGGTCTAAACATGACCGACCTCGTTTGAACGAGTCGACAAACTGCAAACAGGCAGAAAATCCACCAAAGCTCCGTTATCCGCCGCCGTTTCCGCTGTGTACTCCTGTTACAGCGTTCTGACATCATCATCGTCAGCACTGTCAAACTGACAGGTATGTCTTCGTCCGCCTCACAAGACACCGTCGTTAAAAAGAAGCACGTTCGTTTCGCCAGTATGGAGGACGACGAGGACACCCTGTTTGACAAGAGGAAGGACACCGGCAGAGGGCTGAAGAGCGCGTTGAAGGCAGGCTTGAGGACCAGCACCCTGAGGTGCGACGGCCGGGTGGAGGTGGTCGGCGGGAGGAGGAGGAGGGGCGCGTGCGGCCGCTGGACAGTCACCCTCGCGCTCTGTGCAGCTTTCCTGGGCCTGGTACATTTATTTCATAATTAAACCTGTATGGTTCTATAGAAAAATATTATTCAATGGAGACCTCATCCAGCCTTCTCTTCATTTACTAGCATACAACTGTGGCTCAAGTAGCCTCCCATATATCTTGTTATCTTGGTTATATAATAACTACCGTTACTGTAGTGCTATCAAGAAGCATCGACACCTGTGCAAGCACTTAGTTTAGAACTCGGATATATGAGATTTTCTGCAAACCTTTATGATCTAGTGTTTTCTGCATTCTGACCTGCAGCCACAAAGCCTTAAATACGAATAATATGAATGAGCTCCCTATCAGTCAGCAGTAGGTCTATTGTAATGTGCAGGAAGTGTCATTATATCCAGTCACCTGGAGTGAACCTGCAGTATCCTGCACTGACAGGACAAACTACATGCATAACCTGCTCTTCAACCAGGTTATCGGAAAACCTTCAGCATACACCAGTTTGTGTAGTTCTGGAATGTTCCATCCTGCATTAACGCAGCAAACACTTCCTGCAGCAACAATGAAGCAGCTGGCCCATCACTGTGCTCTATGGTTTAAGAAACAATTGGATTAAATATTAAAGGGATAGTTGAGATTGGTACTTCTACAAGTGTCAGGGTATCAGCTACAGGAGATGCAGCTGGAGGAACAGACAGGAAGCATAGTAACTACTGCTTTATACAGCCAGACGCGTGCATGCATTTGAGAAGTTATTCTGTGCATTGTTCTTTAGCGTGCAGCACACCTGTCACTCACAGTGACTCTTTGTAACTCCTGATCTCTTGTTGCTCCAGGGGATGAGTATCTCTGTTATCGGCCCCACGTTCGAGGACCTTGCTGTGAATGTGAACAAGAACATCAGCAACCTTTCTTACATCTTCGTGGGCCGCTCTGCGGGCTACATTGGGGGTTCCCTGTTCGGAGGCCTTCTCTTTGACTGCATGAGCCCCCACCTGCTGCTGGGTAACGCTCAGGCTCATGGCTTATATGTTGTACACATTTTTTGACATACCAAACTATACGTTTTTTTAAAACATTATTTTATGATGGACGACTATTATTACGACAATTTTGTGTGTGTGTGGGGGGGGGGGGGGGGGGGGGTGTTAAAATACAGGTCCAATGGGGGCAGGGGGAGAGAGTTCAGCATCCTTGTGGTAAAGCTGTTTTTGACGTACTATACATATTTTGACTTTTAAACATTGAAATCCCATGCTCTACTATTTTTACATACTTTATTTGGAGGATATATTATGCTATAGTATTTTTGGAATACAGTTTTTAATACATACTATTCTGTGACGAACTTTCATTACATTTGATCAAACAACGAGAGTAAAGGTTCTTCAAAGTTACGCAAGGATTGTGTCCTCTCCACTCTCCACTCGTCACATGGTTGTGCTCTGGTTGTCCTCAGGCTGCTCTCTGCTGGTCACCTCAGTGGGAATGTGTGCCATCCCGTTCTGTAGGCAGGCCCTGCTGCTCACCGGCCTCATGTCCAGCATCGGGGTGACCACAGGGATTCTGGATACAGGTGAGACCATTTATAGCTCGCAGTACAGAGTCAAAGGCATTCATAATGTGACACACACACACACACACACACACACACACACACACACACACACACACACACACACACACACACACACACACACACACACACACACACACACACACACACACACACACACACACACACACACACACACACACACACACACACACACACACACACACACACACACACGTGGTTATTCAAGTGTGTGTTTGTTTCTCTTGTGGTTGATGAGCTGTTTGACACTTGAATGAGTTTAATTCATGTTTTTGCTCTGTTCGACATCTTGCTCCTTTATGATTTTTAATAGATAGTTTCTTGCACATTGTGAGCTGTGGGTGTAGCTGTTAACATGCTAACATCTGAACACTGTCGTGGCGTATCCTAGATGAATCTGACCTCTGTTAGGTACTTTTAAACTTCAGTGTAATACTTAAAAAAAGAAAAGAAAAGAAGTTATGATGTAGCAACTGAGTTTGTGTTTTGCTGTGTTGAAAGGGAGCCTTTCAGAAATACCGAAAATGTGTATCAGAAATGTGTTAATGATGGTTTTACTGTCCCCAGTTGGTAATGTCCTCATACTGAACACGTGGGGGGAGCAGGCGGGCCCCCACCTGCAGGCTCTGCACTTCAGCTTTGCAGCCGGGGCCTTCGTGTCTCCCATCATCGCCAAGCTGCTGTTTGGGTCTGACAGCAACAGCAGTGCAGGAGTCCTAGCAGCAGACTCACTTCCTGTCCCCGCCGAGCAGGTCACCAGAGCGCCTGACGCCCACACACTGATCCGCTACGTCCACAGCAGCAGTAGCACCCTCAAATCCATGTGGGCCTACATCGTCATTGGCTCCTTCATCTTCCTCATCTCCTTCCTCTTCTTCATCCTCTACTGTCGCAGCAGCTCGTCACGTGAAAAAGCACGCAAGACATCGGGGGAGCCCCTGGTGGCCAAACATCACACGGCTCTCATAGCCCTGCTCTTCTTCTTCTTCTTCGCCTATGTAGGTGCTGAGGTAGCGTACGGCTCCTTCATCTTCACCTTCGCCAAGGACTACGCCCACATGCATCAGTCCCAGGCGGCTGGGCTCAATTCTCTGTTCTGGGCTGCGTTCGCTGCCTGCAGGGGGCTGGCTATCTTCTTTGCGGCCTGCATGTACCCGGGCACCATGATCCTGCTCAGCCTGGTGGGCTCCACCCTGTCCTCCCTGCTGCTCTGCCTCTTCAGCAGGGAGCAGGTGGCGGTGTGGGCCTGCACCGGTCTGTACGGCGCCTCCATGGCCACCATCTTTCCCAGCGGCATCTCCTGGTTGGAGCAGTACACCACAGTGACAGGCAACACGGCCGCAGTCTTCGTGGTGGGGGCCGCGTTGGGGGAGATGGTGCTTCCTGCTATTGTAGGCTTCCTGCTGGGACAGTTCCCGGAGCAGCCCCTGCTCATGTACCTGTCGCTCATCACCGCCACATTCACCTCCATCCTCTTCCCCGTCATGTACAAGCTGGCCTCAGCCCCCAGCAGCCAGAGCAGGAAACCCCGCGTCAGGGGCCGGCCTGATGCAGATGACAGCGAATATCGTCAGGCGCTGCTGGACTCAGGAGCCAATGAGGAGGAGGAGGAGGAGGAGGAGGAAGAGGAGAACGAGGCTGATCAGTGGAATGATGCAGACTTTGAGGTGATTGAAATGGATGACACAGCGAGTCTCATCAGTTCCCCCAGCAAGGCTCCCTCTCCCCCCGACATCACGGCTCTAACAGAGAGCGGCCCCCTGACGGAGGTGGCAGGTGGAGCCTCTTTCTCCAGCTCAATCTCCCTGGGTGGAGAGTCCCCCAGACGCAAACTACTGCTCTCCATGGACAGAGAGAAGAGAGACTGAGGGACTCTAGCCCTTACTAAACAAAAAGGATTAGCATTCAATGCAACACTCACTGCAGACCGGAACCTGTGTAGCTTAGAAAGCATCCTCAGCACCTCTGAAGCTCGCGGGCCATCAGGAGTGTTTTTCTCCTCAAGGTTTGAAAATAAACACAACATGGATTCTCTTCAGGGAGTCTGTGTCGGCCTGCTCCCTCCAGAGAGGTCAGAGGACCCAGGACTCGTATTGCAATTCAGTGCCTTGCTCAAGGACACACAACTACAATAATGAAAAGTATGTTTCAAATGTTTTGCACTACTGCAGTGTTGTCATTAACAGCAGGACATGATGTGATGATAGTTGTAAGATTTGAATGAAGTGGATTTTGTCTTTGTAAAGAATGTGTTGTTGTCATGTTCTGTAATGTGCTGTGCTGTATGGATCTCTACATCCTGTGTCGTCACTGCCAATATTTTTTTATAACTGAATCATTGACAGAAGACATTTGATTACATTGACTTTTTATTATATCAATCTCAAACCTCCACCTACAGCAATGTCCATTAAAAACAAACAAAAAACACCTCCTTCATTCATATTTTTTACATTTATACAAATACACAGATCCTGTATGGCTGTTTGAAGAATTGAAGATTGGATCTCAACATGGTTTAATTCTTTTGCGCAGAAAATGGAAAATGTTCACTTAACCACATGTGCACAAGGAAACCATAAACTCTTTATGACATCAATTATCAAAATACAGTATTGCAACAGTCCCAGATTCGTAGAAAAACCAAAATAGTTTCCAGTTCCTACACTGTAGTGTACAAAGTGTCATATCTGCCAAAATGAACATCAGTACAATCATGAACAATGGCATCCTTAAACAGAATGCACAATAACAGTATTGATTGCATTCATGGAGCTTTATGAGATTAGAGACAGAGCTCGACAGGAACTACCAACAGAGAGACTGCAGTCCATACAATATGAAGGGGAATCTATTAGTGGTCTGAATGTAGTGAATTCTGGAGATTTGTGAGGAGCTCCTTCACATTGCTACGAGACACAACAGGTCATTGTGCATCAGATCCAGGATCAGCTTCACTCGCAGCAGCTTATGCAGATACACAGTCAAACGAACAACAGTCACAAGACACATGAAGACCCACCAGGGTTCAATGAAACCTTTACAACTGAGTGGACAATTAAACACTGATATGGGGAAGGGGTGGGGCACCAAATAGCACCAAATGAGCAGGGAGCCGGGAGGTTCAGGAGCCAATCAGAACTGCTCCAGCAGCTGCCGCAGGTAGGGGGCCTTGGAGATCTGTCTGTTGACCCGGGACAGCTTGTAGAGGACAGGGCAGTCCAGGGACACACAGGACACCTGCCGCTCAGCACTGCCAGTGCAGTTCCTACACACCTGGACACACACACACACACACACACACACACACACACACACACACACACACACACACACACACACACACACACACACACACACACACACACACACACACACACACACACACACACACACTGTAGAAGCTCTCAAAGCAATCTGATAATAGCCTCACCCAGCCATCAAGCTAACCGTCTTATCACAGTTATGATCAAAGGTCACTTCAAACAGACTTGTACAAATGTAATTTGTTTTATATCAAAACACACAAACTCTCAACATTAATACATTCATTGTTTGAAATGTTACATGAAAGAAAAAGAGGAGCCATTACTTTAAGAAAACTTAGGTCATTATTTTTAATTAATAGTACTTTTTCTTATAAAAAACACATTGGACAAATGATTACTCCCTGTGTTTTTGCTGGGCGGGGGTCTCACCTTCAGCAGCTGCTCCTGCTGTCTCTCCCATTGTCTCATGTCCTGGTGGAGTGTGACTGCGACGCGCTGCGGCTCGGCGCGGCACCGCGAACACACACCGAGCTGGGTCAGCTCGTCACACACGGGGCAGTGAAGCGTGGTGAAGTACTGCGAGATGGTCCCCTTCCTCCCAACCTCATCTCCCCCCACCACCGAGAAGCAGGAAGCCTTCTGGATCTGTGTGCAGACAATCAGACATGAGTGTTGTGTTTATGGAAGACAACACAACATTAGAAAGAAGATAACAGAGAATTACAAGTAAGATCATACTGTAAATAGTTAAATGCAATCAATGGTCATGAATCATTTTCCTTAGCTATGCTTCACCAGCAGAGGGCGTGTGTGCTCCGTCAGGACGCAGACTGCAGCTTGATGAGTCTCACTTAACACATTCTCTTCCTCCTTTGTTCTCTCTGCACTAAATACACTGAATGGACTGGAAACAGCATCCGGAAGAATGCTTTTATTTTGAAGGAGAGAAGCAACAGACCAAAAATCATCTGTGTGCCCCTGGCATGCTCATCAGTCATTTATTCGTCAAAAACAGCCAATCATATTCCAAACTCAGCTGTGTGTCTTCCCTCCATGCCATTTCTTCTTCTATACGTTGATGTGGCTTCTCTAGCATCATCACTCATTTGCACTGCTCCTATGTTGCAGAGGTCAGATCAAAAAACATTTTGGATTCTCATTTCCCGCCGTCTCACCCTGGGCAGCTCCTGGTACCAGCTGAACACGTCCACTCCGATCAGCTGGAACATGCGGGCCAGTGGGGGCAGGATCTGCTTGGTGATGTAGTAGGTGGCATTGAGGCGGAGGCCGGGGTCCTGCAGCACCTCCACCGGCCGGCGCACCAGCTGGATGAGGGGCAGGCCGGGCATCCCGTACACGATGACGTAGGGAACGCGCTCACTCACACGGGGCTCCAGGCGCCGGTCGTACGCCATCATGCGCCTGAGACAGATGGAGACAGATGGAGACAGATGGAGACAGATGGAGACAGATGGAGACAGATGGAGACACAAACACTTGACAAACCATATCAGAACTTTTAGTCTGCCCTGTGTCTGCCGGGAAATATGACACTAAATAAATCATCTGTAAAACATTCAGCATCATCTAGAATCCACCTAGCTGATAAACAGGAGATAAACTAGAGCTCATGACTGACGCTGGATACTTCCTCTTACCATGCCTTCTTTGGAATCTGATTTTTCTCACCCATTAAGAGATGGGTTGCCTAGCAACAGACTCAGGTACTGTACATACAGGCCAGTGCAGCCAGACAATGAGCACTGTAGGGGGTGGGGGAGTAATTGGATTCACACTGACTCTGTAACTGTAGCTTACAGCAAGCTCTGCAGCATGCACCCCCCCCCCCCCCCCCACACACACACACACACACTTTCTCTGTCTTTTGGTGAGACATTTGTCTGCAATGTTCACTCACAATGTGCTGTCCCTCACACACACTGACACACACCTGCTGAGCTCCAGGGCGGGGACGCAGGCTCCGGGCCGGTACGAGCTGCTGCCCCGGTACTCCTTGGCGAAGGTCAGGTCCTGCATGCTGGCCCGGCCGTCCAGAACCTTCATGCACTGATGCTGCACAAACCGCTTCACCTGGCTGATGTCCCGGCTCTCAAACAGCAGCTTGATGGAACGCTCCAGAACCTGGATCACACAATCATGACAGGACGAGTGAAGAGAGTAAACATGAGAGCGGTTAATGCAAACACTCAACACCCCCCAGCCTGACTGACACGTGTGCAGCAGTCTGAGTGAACAAGAGCGGGAAGAAATCTGGCAAGGCTGTGATTGGTGTAGAGGCCAGTGAGGAGGTTTGCCTGTCACCTTGGAAACAGCAGGGCAGCCGTCGCGGCGCACTGTCTCGATCCCTTTGGCATCAAACACAGGCTCCTTTTGGTCCAGGCTTTCATACATGTAGCCCACATAACGCTTCTTTGTCTGCAACACGCAGGGAAGGTACACCTGGGAACACACGCACACACAAACAGATCAATATATATGTCTACAAGTGCACATTGTGGCTGTGTGTGTATGTGGCTGTGTGTGTGCACTACCTTCTCAAACTTGAGCTTGACAGGCTTGGGGTTGGTTGCGGTCACTGCCTCAGCGATCTCGTTGCCAATCTTGAAAGCCTGCTCTTTGGTGGCTCCCTTCAGCAGAACAAACAGGCTGCGAGACAGACACACACACATAGAGGTTCACTACGGTCCACTGCATGTCCCGTCACACACACACGCTTCCTGTCAGAGGTCACGCCGTTTGTGAATGACACTTACATCTCTGGCAACAATTACAAACAACCATGAGACTTCATAAAGAAAGGAAACAACAATGTGACAGAGTGCTGCTCAGAGAACATCTTCGGTGGGAGAAGTACTCAGATCTTGCACTTAAGTAAAAGTAGAAGTACCAGAGTGTGGGAATAGGAATAGAGTTTTGTAAATGTCCCTGCTGTGGGACTAGTAAAGGATTTCTGATTCTGATACTCTGTTACAGTAAAAGTCCTGCATTCAAAATGTTCCTCAAGTAAAAGTACAAAAGTATTCTCATCAAAATCGTGCAGAGTGGTCCATTTCAGAATAATATATATGATATGTTTTATAATGATTGATCATGAAAGTGTTCTCAAAGCTGGTAAAGGTGCAGCTAGTTTGAATGACTTTGTATACTGCAGGGTAGCTTGTGAATTTACTCCAGGTGGAACTAAAGTCTGATTTAACACTTGATTATATTTCACATCATTCATCCACATCTGTGAAGTAACTAAAGGTATCAAATACATGTAGTGGAGGAAAAGTACACCATTTACCTATGAACTGTAGTGGTATAGAAGTACAGAGTAGCAACACATTGAAATACTCAAGAAAAGTACAAGTATCTCAAAGTTGTAATTACATTACATTACATTACATGTTACTTGTTAGACGCTTTTATCCAAAGCGACTTACATACTCAATACTGTGGAGAATCCCCACAGGAGCAATTTGGGGTGAAGTGTCTCAGGGACACAACGACATGCTGACTGCAGTGGGGTTTGAACCTGTGACCACCTGATCCGAACACCAATGCACAACCCACTGCACCACACGCCTAAGCACAGTACTTGAGTAAATGTACTTAGTTACTTTACACCACTGAACATCAGACTCCTCGACATGAGCAACCTCAGGGAAGCAAACCTCCCAGCGGTGAATACAGCTAGAAGATGATGGGTACTTGTGGTACTAGTGGTGAGGGGCCTGCGTACAGCCCGAAGGATATTAACATGCGCTCATTCTTCTCACATGCATGTGACTGAACCACAGTGCTTCTATTTGATCAATACAGTGTCTACATGTGCATGGAGGGGGGGGGGGTCAGCCTGAACATCTGACTGAAACTTCAAAGTTGCCCGTAAGTTTTATGATAGAAATATATAGTAGGGGTCCCCAGCACATAGAAACTGCCGGATGCTAACCATTGGGCATTTTGCACAATTTGCATAAATTGAATTTATTATTAGCATTAATGGCATTATATATGTGGAAAATAGTCAAAAAATGGCATGGCCGATTTGGAAAATGTTGGAGTGGTTTTGGGGGTTATTGAGGATGCTGAGCCCATTCATAACCTTTTCAGGACCAACAATAACAGTTTTAACCAGGAAATTGCCATATTTGTACTCTTGGTTGTAAATTATAGGGTACTCAAAATGTCCGGGTTCACAATATGAATCTATGGGCTGGCCACTAGACTAATAAATGAAACACTACAGGAACAAAAATTCCAAATCAATGCGTTCTTTGTTAATACTGAAAGTGAATTAGAAGCTTCAAGATAGTTGTCAAAACAAAATAAAAGTAGTTTGATTGTAGAAAACGTTTGCAGTGCAGCTGGCACCACCGCAGTTAGCCTGACGCCATCTGAGCTGTGCTCCTGCTGCGCAGCTAGAATGATGTTTACCTGTCCGTGTCTCCGTACACAACACGCGCGCCCCATTTCTTGGTGTCATTGACCATCTTGATGGCTCTCTCCAGGGTCTCTCTGGCTTTGTGGACGATACTGTCTCCCACCTGGAAAAAGACAGGAGAGACGTTGATACATACTGCAGCACAAGCTTGAATAAACGTTGATGCAATGGTTCTGTAGGAATGTTTGTCTTTCACTCCAGACCAGGAAACCACTGCACAGATCAGCAGAGATTTGCAAAAACACTAGAAATAGTTCTCATAGAAATATGTGCTACTACATGTATTTCACATCTTTAGAAGGACTACAGCTGGCTTTAAATATGATGACACTATGATGACCCCCCCCCCCCCCCCCATCTGGTCCCAGTGCGGACAGCCGACTGTCAGCTTCATTAAGCTTACCTCCACGCAGGGCATGCGTCCAGAGTAGTTGGCGGCGGCATATCCGAAGGTCACGTTGGCGATGAGCTTGAGGCCCAGCTGGCGGGCGTGCAGCAGCTTCATCAGGGCTTTGTCCTGCTTGTACGTCTTCATGGACTGCTTCACCATGATCCTGGTGTTCAGGATTTCCTCCAGCATGCTGGGCATGATGCCTCTACGCACTGAGGACTACACACACACACACACACACACACACACACACACACACACACACCAAGGCCTGATCAGGAGCAGGAAGTCTACATTCACATGGAGTGCATTAGGTCCAATCAACAAGCTTTCATGTGGTCAGGTCAGTATGGCTGACATCTTTGCCAACTACTCTGTCATATTTGCCGTGGTCTTCATCAGGCTCGTGCAGAGGATGTTAGAGGGCCAGGGACCCACATTCAAAAAAGGAACACGCTGGCGATTTTGGTTACTTTCACATAAATCTATTCCTGGAATAACTACTTTTGTGAAAGGAGACATGTCATGCTTTTCCGGTTATTACCCGTCCCCTTGTGTGTTATGAAGGTTTTTATGCATGTAAACGGTGTGCAGAGTCACAACCCTCAAAGTACACCCTGTAGCGAGTAAAACTCTAACACAGAAAATACCTCCGCAAAACGCCTCGTCATTGTCCATTTGATTCTTCCGGGTACGACATGATGTCATGCCGTACCCGGAACGAAATGGACCAATCCGTGGAGCCGTTACGTTAAGCCCCCGCTGATTGGTCCAAATTGACCAATCCACGGACTTCCTCACACACACATCTGTGTGCAGGGAGCAGGCAGCTCAGCTGATTTCTCCTCCCTGGCTGCAGGCTGATAACAGACAGTTGGGATTCTCTCTGCAGACCCATTCTCACAGCGTTTATCAACCTTTTTCTTACTCAATATCAAGACACACTTATTGTTTTTACTTCGGCTGTGAGTTTGTGTGTGCTCAGGATGTGTTTGGATGTGTTTCACTATGTATCCTAAACAAGGAAACAACACCTCCACGGAGCTCAGCGCGATTCACAACGTCCCGACCAATCAGAGCACACTGTGCTCACAGGGAGGGTGGGGGCTGGAGCTATTGGAGCTACAACGAGCCGTTAAAGGCAGAGAGTGAAATTCAGTGAATACACGTAGTTTACAGAGATGCTGTATGAGAAACCAATGTGAGTTTGGAAAATTGCACAATATAAATCTATTCTAGTAGACCTCAACAATGGAATTATGATCAGTGGAAATGGCCATGACACCTCTCCTTTAAGGGATATTAAAATGTATGTATGTATTTAAATATACTATTACTATGTGCCAAAAAATGTGTTAAAAGTCATTCACATATCATGTCATAATTAGGCACAACATTATTAAAGCAAAACATAAGCTTTGGCCCCTAATGTATTTGTTGTTTTGTTTGTCTGACTGTCTGTCTGACTGTTTGTCTGACTGTTGTTTTTGTTTTACTCCTGTTTCTTCTGTAAAGCGACCGTGGGTCCCCTGAAAGGAGCTATATAAATGTAAGTTATTATTATAATGATTAATGTGTATTAGCTACAGTTTCTTTTTGTTGCTTTATGTTAGACAATGCCTGCACACACTGATTTTTAAATTAAAAAAAGAGGGCAAAAGGGCAGGTGCCCAAGCCACCCTTGAGGTGTATCTGTGCATGTGCCTGCTCTCTATAGTCATTATGGAGGTTGTATATTTATGGTGCTAACACATTGAGTGGTGTTAATATTTAGTCTACAGTTATTGATATAAATAGTGTGGACACACAAGCAAATAAATGTATCTTTTGGCTGTATGAACTAACGAGGATACCCCTTGCAGCTGAACAGATCCAACTGTGTCCTGACCTCAGACCTTTGTTTAGGCAGGTTTTCATATGCAGTTGGTTCACAGTTGAAAATGAACTGAATTACATTATTCTTCAAATTTAGCAGCAACACTCCAAAGTCAGTTTGACATTCAACATTATTATTGCATTGTTTCATTTGTGAGTATATCAAGTATACTGAGTTCCTGTGCAGTGTAGTATAAAGATTCATTTAGAATACATGCATGTACAGTTAGTGTGCAGTTTATAGAAAATGAATAGCGAGATGCTTGGCCTCGGCAGCAGCTCAAGTGCATTTCCAGAACAACCTTGAGTGACAGGTCCTCAGAGGGGCGGGTACCTTGATGAAGACGATGCCGTTGGGGGACACGGTGATGTCATTGCGCAGCTGGTAGAGGAGGTCAGGGGGAACTCGCAGGGAGGTGCAGCCAAACTTGAACTCATCGGGCCTGAAACAGAAGCACACAGGTGTAAGAGGAACAGAGAAAGTATATACACATATTTGGGCTGTCAATCATTTGGAAAATGTAATCGCGTTAATCTCAATAAATATACTGTGATTAATTATGAATAATGAACGATCACAAGTATAAAATACTAGTATCTACTTGTATTTTGGGGAGATATAAAAGAAATACATGTGTGGTGTTGTCATAAAGAAATGCATGAGACACTCCTGTGACACTGCAAAGACCTGCACATAGTGTTGGTAACAATCTTCTCTTTTCCTCTGGGTCATATAAAGGGTTGGGTATCGTCTAGATTTGAACGATTCCGGTTCTGCTTCTCGATTCCGGTTATTTTCAGTTCTTGATTTAGTTTCTTTGAGAGGGTAAAAATAAGTCCCACACCAATTTCACTGGGACAAAATGTATTTATGAAAACATTTAGTCAAATCAGTATTCATATTTACATATCACTCCATACTTTTTAGTTTGGTTGCTGTTATTGAATACAATTATATTCTGCATTGTTCTTGCATTCACAAGTTAGTTAATTCACGGTTTCCCAGTCTCCTCTGATGTTACGCTGCAACCTGCCTGTGGGACAGAGTCCAACCACACAGTCTGTGTCCAACAAATGTCCTGCAATACATCTGCTACAGTATTTTCATTTAAAAGATGTGCTTTCTAAACCCTGCTTCATAAACAAAACTGACTTCCCTGTGTTCCTCCGAGTCTGGAGGTAGAAGGAGAGAGAGACGCTGAGCACCGTGCAGTGATCAGCTGATCCGGAGCAGAGAGACCTGTGGTCCGTGGGGTTCCGCCACCTTTCCTCACAGCTCTTATTAATCCCGGTACCGGAAAATTGTTATTTGTTCTTACTCGTTGCTTCCCAACCCTGCCACTGTGCTCGCTATATTTCCCGCCCCTGCCCCGTCTAACAGTAGAAAAAGCAGCAAGATGCATTTCCTTAGGAATCGATAAGCAGAACTGAAATTAACATTTCTAAACGATACCGATGGAATCAAAATGTTGGTACCCAACCCTATATATATATATATATATATATATATACACACAAATGCTTGCAAATGTAATAAAAAAAAATCCAGCATAATGTGATGTGCTGAAGTTGAACCTCAAACCTCTTTCTACTGAGAATACAAATCATAAAGGTCTGTGTGTCTGGCATTGCTTTTTTTTATACCTTGGAGTAGTACAAATATGATGTAGAAAATGTTCATGTCTCCTGCTGTTGCTATGCAACTACAGTTGGTAGGTGAAAAAAAAAGAAATATAATGGAAGTTCTCTCTGAGCTGTGAACACCACACAGTCTGATCCATGAAAAAATAATGAGGCAGGTAAGGCAGACATGCAGCCTAAGCCAAGTGTGTGTGTGTGTGTGTGTGTGTGTGTGTGTGTGTGCACGCTTGTCATGTGCTTACGTTCCCAGGCTGTCCACGTGGCCCAGGCAGGTGGAGTAGCAGTAGTTGTACGCTATGACGATGGAAGGATAGAGAGACTGGAAGTCCAGCACCACCACTGAGTTGCTGTAGAAGCGCGACTCGGGCTCCATCACCAGGGGGATGCACTGAGGGGCCCTCTGCTGGGCCCGCTGCTGGACACTGGGGGTCACAGGGATGTAGTTCAAGGGCTTGGCCACACGGAGCATCATGGACTCAACACGGTACTGAAAGAGCAAAACAGAAGGACATAGAATAGTTTAGTATTGTAGTTATTACAGAATGTTAGTGGATATCCATAGCTGTTGAGGTATGACAGAGTGTGGGTTAAGTGTGACGTTTGTGTTGGTCCTGCACCTGAGATCCTCGGGTCAGAACGTGTAAGAACTGAATCCCAAACACCCGGGCCAGCTCGCTGGTTCTGCCGATGACATCCTGCTGCTGGAGGAGCTGCATGGTGCCCCGGACCCGGCTCACATAGTGGTCCACCGCCTTCCACCTGCCATACACACATGTTGATAGAGAAATGAAAACATTCAAACAATAAAACATGTCCACAGTTGGGGTGAAGTGTGTGTTGTTGGCACAGACCTGTAGAGGTGTGTGTTGTGGTCGAACCAATCGGACAGTGTGCGGGGGGTGTACAGGGGGAAGCGCTGGTGGAGGAAATGGAAGGCCACGTTCTCAAAAGTGTAGTTGTTCAACGCCGCCTGAAGGACGGAAATAAAAAAATCGATCATTATTCTTTCAGAGAGACTTTCAGTCAGGCTTTGATTCCTTTGCTGATGTTGTTGCAGCTCAACGTGTATGTGTGTGTCAGGGTTTCCGTTAGCCGGTAATTACCGGTTTTTAGCTGGTAACATTTATTAAAAACCGGTAAATTCAAAACCTGCTGGTCAAAATGTCCGGTAATAATTAGGGATGCTCCGATCGATCGGCTGCCGGTCATTATCGGCCGATATTCACTCCTAATAGTTTGATCGGTGCTCTCTATAAAGGCCGATCAGGAGAGCTGGATCTGATCCATATGGACATGAACGTGAGTGAAGTATAACCGGACGAGAGAGATCAGATCAGCTGCTGAGTCTGACGGAGACACGCAGCTCTGCATGATCACCTGAAGCCCCGCCCACTGTTTAGCCGGGTCACGCTGTCAGGAGAGAGAGAGAGAGAGAGAGAGAGAGAGAGAGAGAGAGAGAGAGAGAGAGAGAGAGAGAGAGCTAGAGATGGATATGAGAGAGATATAGAGAGAGAGAGAGAGAGAGAGAGAGAGATTGAAGACCAGAGAGCCCGAGGATGAGGAAGGGAGAAGGTTATGGCAGAGAGAGAGTTCTTTTTCTCTCTCCTTCCCTCTTAGTCCCTTTCTTTCTCCTTCTTCTTTCTGTCTTTCTTTCTTTAGGGAGAGGGGGGGGAGAGAGTTCTTCTTTCTGGGGAGTCCGAGGAGATCCGTTTCTCCCGTGTTATTATCCAAAGTTAATGTAAACTCTTGAATAATGTTCTTCATCTACAAGTAGTTTGTTTGAATGTAATAATGATGTTTGTTGAATCATGTATTGAAAAATGAATCTGAATTTTCAATCTGTTACGATTATAAACTAAGCAATATAAAAATGACTCCCATGAAGTGAGTTTTAAACATCATCATATCCGCTCCACTCAGAGTCCGGTGATTACCTGCTAACGGAAACTCTGCTACACAATTCTTATTATTATTGAAACATGACCCGGTAAGTTTCACATTTGTCCGGTAAAATAAATTCTGTGCGGACATTTGACCGGCGAGAAGAAATCCTAGCAGAAACCCTGGTGTGTGTGAGAGGTGATGAAGAACACCTGCCTCAGTCTTCATCACCCTCCACAGGTTGAGGGTGATGCGTCCGATGATGTTGATCTCAGTCATGGTGTCGGCTCCATACTCATCTCTCTCTGCAGCAAAGCGGTTCTCCTTGGAGTCACCTGAGGAAACGCAGACACACACAATTACAGGAGGACTCAACTGCCACACAATCACCCACGAGGAGGGGACACCATTCACCCACGAGGAGGGGGGGTCCTACCTGGCACTCGGGACAGCTGCTGACACAGATTGACTCCGAGCGCTGCGGCCCGCTGCAGGAGGTAGCCCCAGGAGCGCATCTGCACCTCGTAGCCCACCAGGACGTCCGGGTCAAACCTGAGGAGAAGAGGAGACATCTCTCTTATTTATTGAAAATATATGGAGCAATAGAAGAAGGAGCTGTGCTAACACCCACACACACACCTCCTGAAGACGGTGATGAGCTCCTGAAACAGCACCTTCTCATCTGTGGCGTATTTCACCTGCAGCCCAGAGACCCCCGACCTGACCAGCAGGGGCGCCGTCGCTCTGTGACCTGCGGAAGCATTTGAACACACCATCAGCCTGCTTCACATTTGAACATCTTGTACAAATGTCCTCATTCAGAGTAGGGCTGTGACAGTGAGCGCTACCTGGGTCACAGCTCTCATGGTCTCTGTCCACCACGATGGCTCCCGTCAGCTGGCTGCTGTCTACATTTGGCAGGGGAGCATCCGAACTGAGGCAGTAGAATAAGGCACATATGGGGTCAAACTCGGGGTCAGGCTCAAGGTCCCGCCGAGTTCTTGCATGGAGCTCCATGCCCATCAGTGTCAGGTGCTGGACCTGAGGGAGGAGTACAAGAAACAAAGGACAAGTTTTGATCACTGAAAAAAAAGCAATCATCACCCCCTCATGTTCCCCCTCATGTTCCCCCTCATGTTCCCCCTCATGTTCCCCCTCATGTTCCCCCTCATGTTTTATTCTTCTCTCTTCTGATCTGATATTTTTTAAGTCAACTTTAATGTCAATCTTTCAGTTTGTGTGTACAGACAGAGAGATCGAAATAACGCTTCCAACAATCCCGAATACAAAAATACAATAATACAAATATATATACAAATATATATACAAATATGTATATCCTACACAATCAACAGACACATTTACACATATGCACACATTAAGATAAAAACACAACAACTATCAATATATACAAAATAACAGTCACTTCAATATCTTTGGGAATATACATTAGTGCAAGGATGTCCATAGCAGCGTGAAAAGGGTCTGGGGCTGGAATAGAGTGTCTGAGTGTGTGGGGGAGTTATAGTCCAGTGGAGGCAGGGGGGAGAGGGGGGAGAGAGGGGAGGGAGGGAGGGGAGAGGGGAGAGAGGGGAGAGAGGGGAGAGAGGGGAGGAGGGGGAGAGAATTCAGCCTCCTGACAGCCTGGTGGACGAAGGTGTTTTTCGGTTGTGCTCGACCTCAGGCTGCGGAACCTCCTCGCTGAAGGCAGGAGGGTGAAGGGGCAGGTGGAGGGATGGGTGGGGTCACCCACCATGCTGAGTGAGGTGGGTGTTGTAGAGGTCAAGGAGTGACGGGAGTGAGGCACTGATGATCCTCTCAGCAGTGTTCACAATGCGCTGCAGGGTCTTGCGGTTGGATGCTGTGCAGCTTCCGAACCACACCGTGATGTAGCTGCTGAGGATGCTCTCGATGGCGCCTCGGTAGAAGGAGAGCATGATGGGGGGGGGGCTCCTGCTCTCTTCAGTTTGTGGACGAAGTAGAGGCGCTGCTGGGCTTTCTTGGCGAGTGCCGTGGTGTTGTTGCTCCAGAAGAGGTCCTCAGTGATGTGCACCCCCAGGAATTTGGTGCAGCTCACCTGCTCTACTGCAGTACCACCAATGGTCAGGGGGTGGGGGTGTTGGGTTGAGGTTCTCGACAACAATCTCCTTTGTTTTCTCCACATTGAGAAAGAGATTGTTGTCTATGCACCACGTGGCCAGCTGGTTCACCTCCCTCCTGTAGTGGGTCTCACCGTTGTTGCTGATGAGACCCACCACGGTTGTGTCATCCACAAACTTGATGAAGAGGTTGGAGCTGTGGCTGGGTGTGCAGTCGTGGGTCAGCAGGGTGAAGAGCAGGGGGCTGAGCACACATCCTCGGGGGGCCCCCGTACTGAGTGTGATGGTGCCTGATGTGTTGTTGCCGACCCGTACAGATTAGGGTCTGGCAGTGAGGAAGTCCAGCAGCCAGTTGCAGAGAAAGGGGCTGAGGCCCAGGTTTGTTAGTTTACAAACCAGCTGCTGGGGGATGATGGTGTTGAACGCTGAGCTAAAGTCTATGAACAGCATCCTAACATAAGAGTTTTTAGTGTCCAGGTGGGTGAGGGCTGGGTGGAGAGCAGAGGAGATGGCATCCTCAGTGGACCGCTTCGCTCGATATGCAAACTGCACGGATCCAGGGAGGGAGGGAGGGTGGATTTGATTTGCTTCATGACTAGCCGCTCAAAGCACTTCATGATGGTGGAGGTCAGCGCTACGGGGCGGTAGTCGTTGAAGCAGGAAGGTGATGACTTCTTCTGCACAGGTATGATGGTGGATACCTTGAAGCACGAGAGAACAACAGCCTGGCTCAGGGAGATGTTGATGATGTCTGTGAGGACATCTGTGTGCTCAGCTGTGCAGTCCTTTAGCACACAACCAGGAATGTTGTCAGGCCCAGAAGCTTTCCGGGTGTTAATCCATAACAGTGTGCTCCTCACACTGCCTGGGGACAGACAGATAGCCTGGTCGTTGGGTGGAGGCGTTGTTTTCTGCGCAGGTGTGCTGTTCTGTGCTTCAAAGCGTGCGAAGAGGCCGTTGAGGTTGTTCAGCAGAGAGGTGTCACTGTCTGTGGTGGAGGTTTGTAGTCCGTGATGGTCCTGATACCCTGCCACAGGCTCCGTGTGTCTCTGCTGTCACTGAAGTGTGCTGTAATCTTCCGGGTGTACTGTCGTTTGGCTTTACGGATGCCACAGGATAGGTCGGCCCTGGCTGCTCTGAGACCAGTTGGATTGCCCTCTCTGAAGGCGATGTTGCGGGCCAGTGTTAATTTTGGCAGCTGTTTTTGATTTAGTCTTAGTCTTAGTCTTTAGACGAAAATGGTTATTAGTTTTAGTCACATTTTAGTCATTTCTATCCTTCAGAGTTTTAGTCTAGTTTTAGTCGACGAAAACTCAAAACGTTTTAGTCTACTTTTAGTCGATGAAAAATTACATTTTAGTCAACTTTTAGTCAAAATGTTTTCTCTCTTTAAACTAATTCAGTTAGGCAAATACAGGTATCTGAAATTGGAATCAAGGTGACAGCATCAAGTGTTGAAATTCGTAAAGCAACATTTCACTCTCTTAACACTTTACTTGTGTAATATCTAGGGATGGGTATCGTTAAGGTTTTCTACGGTACTACTAGTCTTATCAATACTGCTTATCAATCCAGTACTTTAACGGTATTCTTGTAGGTACTTTTTGTTATTTTTTAAAGGAAAAAACTAACAAATTGTTAACCGAATTAATTGCTTTATTTAAATTATAATTATGTTAAAATATTGTACTGTACTTGAGTAAAATGTTGAGGTACTTGTACTTTACTGGAGTATTTAAATGTTTTGCTACTGTGTACTTCTACTCCACTACAGTTCAGAGGTAAATGGTGTACTTCTACTCCACTACATGTATTTAATACCTTTAGTTACTTCACAGATCTGGATGAATGATGTGAAATATAATCAAGTGTTAAATCAGACTTTAGTTCCACCTGGAGTAAATTCACAAGCTACCCTGCAGTATACAAAGTCATTCAAACTAGCTGCACCTTTACCAGCTTTGAGAACACTTTCATGATCAATCATTATAAAACATATCATATATATTATTCTGAAATGGACCAATCTGCACAATGACTACTTTTACTGTCGCTACTTTAAATATATTTTGATGATCATACTTTTACTTGAGGAACTCTTCCTACACTATGGTCTTTTTTTACTTAGCTACAAGATCTGAGTACTTCTCCCACCTCTGCACACCTGATGTGATAACGTTACTCGTAATTGGGGCAACAGAGCTACGAGTTAAGGAAGTCGAAAATTGTGCATTTCTCCGACTGAATATGACGCCTTTTGGCCGGCTGTCTGGACATACTACTCTACTCGTGTCAACGCGCTAACGCGAAAACATGGCAAACGAGCTTTGTCCACATCGAGTCTTGTAGAGTGTCTCTATACTCTCTGAACGCTCCGTCCCCGGCAGATCTCTGTGTGCCGCTGCAGCGTGTCTGTTAGGCCCTGCCCCCCGCACACAGAGAGAGAGTTAGGCCCCGCCCCCCGCACACAGAGAGACACAGGGAGATCGCTCTTCTGGAGTGAAGAGAGCGGAAATAATGATATTGCAAGTTAGAAATGTAAGATGCATTTTGACAGACAAGACGGACACTTGGGGGGAAATACCCTGCATTTTGAATGTCCGATAGTCCACCATTAACACCTTAGTCTCGTCTCGTCTCGTCACCGAAAAAAAGGTCGTTGACGAACATTTTTCGTCATAGTTTTCGTTGACGAAATTAACACTGTTGCGGGCCCTCAGCAGCCCGTGGACCTCCCCTGTCAGCCATGGCTTCTGGTTGGCCCTGATGGTGATCAGGTGTGGGTCACATCAATGCATTTGGTGATGTAGCCTGTAACAGTTTCTGTATATTCCTGGATGGTGGTGTTGATGTATTTCTAAGAGACAGATTTTAGAGACAATCCTAATGGCTGTGCAGACTCCATGGAAACACAGCTACAGCTCCCATAGTTCAACACAGCTCTTCAACTTCACAATAAATGTTAACAAAAAGTCATGTTGGGATTTTCCGTTTAAAAGAAAACATGGCTGTGGTTTACTTGTGCTCATTTGCATACATTCTCATAACAGAAATGTGAACATTGATAAAGCCAGGTTCCCAATTCTTATTCTTTTGGTTGACAGTAGAGTCAAAGGTTTTAACAGTTTTGGAAATATATGCGTATCAGCCCATAGATTGGAATGACTGTCAACAGCCATAATCTTCTGCACATTTTTAGTAATAACGTGTGTATGGATATATATTTTGGAAACAGAAGTTCCGTTAGTGTTATGGAAGCAAAATAGCCCAAAACCTCAAAACTGACCTGAGCATGAAAAACATGTTTAAGCATGGCGGTTCTCTCCCTCTTTGTTTGGTACAGATCCTCACAAACTAATCACATAGTGATCTTTTGAATCTAATTTCCATTACATTTTGAACATTGATGCAAAAATGAGCATTCCTCCTATTGCGGTTCCAATGTAATCAAAACAATCCCAATTACATAGTTTACATTCAAAATCATTCAGCCATGATAGAGCTCTTTATCATTTCAGTTCAACTGGAAAATTCACTGGCCACAAATTGTTACTTTGACGACCAACAGATTTCATTCCACAGCGAGCTCTCACAGCTAAGGCAGAACTGCACATTAAATAATGTGGACGATTAACAAATGTTTGTTGCCACTAAAGACGATACAAAACTCATTACATCGAACAGTTCACTGAAGAATTCTTCAGAATAAGATCAATCTAAAATATGCTTTCTAACCGCAGCCCTGACTAGCAAAGGCCACTCACCTCGTGCAGAGCTTTGGCCTCCTGGAGGTTCTGCATGCTGATTTTGAAGCCGTACGAGTTGGCTATGCTGGGTCCTTCAATCTGAGAGGTATCTTTCTTTGGCACATTCAAAGCAGCAAACTGATTCTGTGGAAGACAAGGAATGCATGATAAATCACATGAAGTCAAACTTCTGAAGTGGAACGGGGACACACTTTATTCACAAGCTGGAGGAATACTGTGGGCCGCATGTACAGGTCTACACTGCTGTTAAAGATGTTCAGGTTGCTTCCCTACTGTGCTATTAGATGAGGTGAGGTCTTCCCTACTGTGCTATTAGATGAGGTGAGGTCTTCCCTACTGTGCTATTAGATGAGGTGAGGTCTTCCCTACTGTGCTATGAGATGAGGTGAGGTCTTCCCTACTGTGCTATTAGATGAGGTGAGGTCTTCCCTACTGTGCTATTAGATGAGGTGAGGTCTTCCCTACTGTGCTATGAGATGAGGTGAGGTCTTCCCTACTGTGCTATTAGATGAGGTGAGGTCTTCCCTACTGTGCTATTAGATGAGGTGAGGTCTTCCCTACTGTGCTATTAGATGAGGTGAGGTCTTCCCTACTGTGCTATGAGATGAGGTGAGGTCTTCCCTACTGTGCTATGAGATGAGGTGAGGTCTTCCCTACTGTGCTATTAGATGAGGTGAGGTCTTCCCTACTGTGCTATTAGATGAGGTGAGGTCTTCCCTACTGTGCTATTAGATGAGGTGAGGTCTTCCCTACTGTGCTATTAGATGAGGTGAGGTCTTCCCTACTGTGCTATGAGATGAGGTGAGGTCTTCCCTACTGTGCTATTAGATGAGGTGAGGTCTTCCCTACTGTGCTATTAGATGAGTTGAGGTCTTCCCTACTGTGGTATTAGATGAGGTGAGGTCTTCTCTACTGTGCTATGAGATGAGGTGAGGTCTTCTCTACTGTGCTATGAGATGAGGTGAGGTCTTCTCTACTGTGCTATGAGATGAGGTGAGGTCTTCCCTACTGTGCTATTAGATGAGGTGAGGTCTTCCCTACTGTGCTATTAGATGAGGTGAGGTCTAAAGAAATTCAAATGTGTGGTCTGACCTTCATCTGTGTGGTCAGAAGCACTCTTTTCAGAGGGTCTGCATGACTTCTCCTTCGCTGCTGGAGTCTCTGAGAAACGGGGTCCTCTGCAGCAGGAATACAACAGTAAGAGCAGAAATGGACAATTCATCAAACAGCAGTGCATGCAGCTGGTCTGCCTCCATTCTATATGGATGAACACATTAGAAAGCTGGAACACATTGTGGGCACACTAGCACACATGACATTAGGGTGAAACAGCAGCTTTCTTACCCTCAGATTTGGGCGTGCTGCAAATTGGCTCCAGGTCCTCCTTGCTTCTCCGCCTCCGTCTTAAAAATGGGGTGCTGTGAAGGAGGTGGGTACTCCCCTCTTCTCTGTTACTGAGATTCTCCATGGAGTTACAGAGCCTTGGTGACAGTGCTTCCAGACAGTCTTCACTGAGCTGGTGTGGCCCTAAGGGGCTGGGCTGAGCAGACTGCTGCCAGGGATGCAGCTCTGGGGATTCTAGACACGTGCTTTTATCATCATCGTCAGCATTTCTTTGGCTGACCTCCTGATCAATATCCACTTCATGTGAAACTAGACTTAACTCTGATGATTCACAGTGAATGCCTTTATTCTTCATGGGTGCTATGATTAAGGACAGGTTGCAGTTCTTTCTCCTTGGAGTCCTGACCTTCTCTGCTGGACAGCTGGTAGCTGGGTTTCCCTCCACACCCAGCTCAGTCCTCCCATTCTTCAGCAGCCCTATTTGTAAACTCTCATACTGTTTTCTGGCTTCCAGCCACAGTTGCACACGCTCTCTGCTTGGTGGGTTTCTGCAGGGCAGGAGGATGACCTTTTTGTTGCTGCCGGAGGACAGGTCATACTTGGCCTGCTCTTTACTCGTGTCTGAGGCCTCAGATCCCTGGGCATGGGGAGATGAAGTGACATTGATGTGGGGGTGCGCCATGGCTGAGAAGACTGTCTTCCAGAAATGGAGGCCCTCCAAAGAAAGATCTCCACAGAACTCTGCTAGCTCCTTAGCCAGCCTAGTGCGCACCGTTAGCTTACGGCCGCCGACCTCCCTAAAGAGGAGACAGGGGAATGTGATTAATTAACTTTCATTTCATTAACTGCAATTAATTACACCTTCAGAAGTGGAGAACTATGTCAAACGGAGTGATATTAAATAATGCCCTGTAGATAATAATTATTAGTGCCAGACAGATATAGGATTTTGCGGCAGTCACTGATTGATATTTTGATTTTTCTTTTGTATTTTTAAAAAGGGACAACCTAATTTTGGTTACTTAAAACTTCCTTTAAGATCTTTAGCATTGTCATACTGCAAGTTCTGTTCTCTCAAAATGTACAAAGCTACTTTTCATATTGTTTTTAAACCTTGATTGTTTACAACCATGTTGACTATCTTGCAGTCTTCTCCTTCAGTGCTTCTCTAGTTTCTCTTTGGGCACCAACTGTATATGCATTCTTGCAGGTTTACATGTGCACAATTTAAGCAAAATGTACTTGTCACAATACTACAACTACTACAAAATGTACTTGTTACATTAATAGTGGTCAAAAACTCCACAGGGTACCTTTCAGTAATAATTTACTCATCTGCCAAAAGATATGAAACAATATCTTTGAGATGCTAAAATCTGCACAATCTATGATGCTGGTGTAACACTCAGATTACATTTTTTTATATTAAAAGCCTTCCAGATACAATTTAATGCATGTACATTTAGTCCACAATGTTCATTCAAAGGCCTATGCAAGATACCTTAAAATAATTATTACTTCAACATGTGGCCTTTGGTATATATAGTCTTACATTGGTTTCCCTGGCGCATCAGAGGGGTCGCTGCAGAAGGGCTCCTGGAAGGTGGCCTCCGACATCTCCAGGTTCAGCAGAGTACTGACGATCTCCTCCCGGTTTGGAGGGGACATGAGGGGCTTTAGAATGTGTGCTCCCCCTCCTGCTCCCCGCAGCAGCTGGCCCGCCCTGCCCTGGGATACAGAGCTGATGGAGCTCGGAGAGCTGCTGGGGGTGGTGGACGGCAGGCCATCACTGCCCTCCAAAAGCTCCCCGGTTGGAGAGCCCTCATGATCAACGAATGAGGCAGAGCTTAAAGGCAGAGGTAGGACAGGGTCGAAGACGGAGAACAGCAGTTCTTTTCTTTCACAGTGAAAGTCTTGAAAGGGGCTGAGCGTATTGGCTTTACCTAAATACAAGTCCCACTCCCTGCTCTTATGTTTCTCAGAGTCGAGGAATGTGAGGTGATTTGATACAGACTCCCTGTTCTCAGTTCTATCAAAGAGGTCAGGGCTGACGGGCCTTGCTTCGTGCCATTCGGAACCCTTTTGAAGCTCCTCCCCAGATGCAAACAGTCTATCAGGTTTCTTCTCAAATCCCAGTCCTTGAGTAGACACTGCTTCCTGGCTGACATCACTCAGAAACGTAACTGGTAAATGTTTATCAGTCAGCACAAACTGACTGCCGCTGTATGGGCTGGAGAACTCCGTCTGATCAATGGCATTTATATCAAAGGTATAGTTTTGTGGGAGCTCTGGTGACAAACTGTCCTCTATGAAATTGCATCTGTCCATGCCTGGGTCTGACAGGAAGAGGGGGCAATCATCTGACATGTTGCCATCCAGCTTCGTTGAGAGATTTGGCTGCGTGCTGCTTGCCTTGCCTTTCCTGATTCTGGGTTTTTTATCCTTGGGAGTGGTAGATTTTGGGGCCCTGGGTTTCCGTGGAGTTGTGGTGGGAGCTTTCCTGGGTTTGGCTGGTTTAGCTGAGGGATCTAGAAGTGCTGTGGCCTGAGCCATGGCAGTGGGGTTACTGTCTGCACCAACCACCTGAATGGGAAGAGCCTGCCCCAGCTGCCTTCTCTGGAGAAGCTGCTTGAGGACAGCCAAGCCAGAGGGTGTCTCAGAAAGAGGGGGGATCGTGCCATTCTTAGGGCTTGAGTGGGGGGTAGCTGGCGAAAGCTGGGAGTCTTTACTGTCTTCTAGTAAAGGACTCCCAGCCAGAGGAGGTGGAGGAGCCATGCTCTCCTCTTGTGAAGCCTCTGCCTTTACCACAGTGGTCTGGCAGCCTTGCTGCTTCAGCTGAGCCGGGGCTGGAATGCTTTGGTTGATCTCCATGATGGAAGTCTCGCAGTCTTCAACCTTTGGTTCTATAGACTGGCCTGCAGAGTTAGGGTCTGTTATTGATGTTGGGTGAGACGTGCCCTGAATGTTGCCATCTGTGCTTACTGGCTGCTGAAAGGAAGGGACTTCTTGAGATGAACTCTCAGAAGGAGGTAGCTCATCTTTTGGAAAAAGCACATGGGAGCTGTCTTTACTTGAGTCATGGCTTTTGGGTTCCTCCATCTTCTTTTTGCGAGACTTTGTAGGTCTTGTGGTGTTTGTAGAACTGCCAACAGTGCCTTCAGCTGTGTCTTTAGTTTGCTTCCTCTGCTTTGGAGCAGCAGTACTCCTTTGTCTGGATTTTTTGGGTTCCTCCTGAGGCTTGGTTACAAACTTGCTTACTTTGCTTTTAGTGTGCACAGATTTCTTAGGTTTGGCAGTTTGAAACTTTTGTTGTGCTCCTTTGGTTGAAGATACTGTGTGTGGCTTGGGAAAAGCCAAACTAAGACATGGGTCAATGAGTGGGTTTATCAGATGTTCAGAACTCCTGTTGTCCATTAGAGGGTCACTAGGGGACCAACAACGAGGGGGTGTAACGTTTGTAGGGCTTGGGGATCTATCAGATAGGTACCCTAACTCTACCATGACGTCATTATACCTCATTTCCTGGTCATCTACTAGCTCAGAGTAACATGGCTGAGGCGGCGGTAGAGAGGGTAGAATTGGACCTCTCTTATAGCCTTTAGTCCTTTTGACCCTTTCACCCTGTTTGACCAAAGGCTTGGAGGAGTGAGGACTGAGGACTGATTTCTTGTTTGTGGAGTTGCCCTTTGCTTTTCTTTTGGGTAGTTTTTTGGCCTTTTGCTCAGTGACAGGAAACTTGATGGCAGTGGATTCTGGCACCTTGGGCCAGAAATCCTTAAGAGGGGCTAGTTTATTGTACTGCTCCAGCTTGTCTGGCGTAAGCAAAACCAACTGCTCCTCTGCCTTCACTTTGGACATCTTCACCAGCATGTTCTTCAGTCCTTTGAACCTGTTGATAATAATGTACTTGATGATGATAGGGGGTTCCTTCTTAGGTCGTTTCTGGTGTCTTACCTCTTGCCCATCAGGGACATTGTCCTTGATCCGTTCTTTGACGGAGGCTGGATTTTTAGAACGAGGGGCACCGGAATATTCTCCATCTTCGCCGTCAAAGATCATCTTCCGCTTGGTCCTTAGGGTGTATTTACTACCAGGCAGTGCTGAAGATTTAGTACAGGTGATCATCGCTGATAAATTGTGCAATGGGCTGAACCTGTTCTCTTCTGAGTTTTTAGCTTCTTCAGAAAAACTGGAAACAGTGGTGGCATGGGATTCTGAAAATGGTTGCGATTGTTCATTTACTGATCTCTCCCCACTTTCTGGCTCCTCCCTTGTGATTGGCTCCACCTTTGTGACTAGCCCATCTTTAATTGGCTCAGGCTTTTGTATTGACTTATCCTCCAAAACTGGCATCTCTGTGTCCGATGTCACCGGACAAGCAGGTGTGGTTGGGGTGAGGGCAGTGCTAACCTCGCTGTCTGAGGAAGTGTTTTCAGAGGCTTCAACTATGTTTAATATATTTCTCTGTGCTGCCATTCCTAACCTTTTTTTATACACTTTAAGCTTAGATCTGCGAGGCTCGGCCTGTTCAAGCATGCTACAGGGATCGGCCATCTTTTTGCTCCCAGCTTTTTTCCTACTGAGGCAGTTGGAGAGGATGACACTGGGGAAGAACTTGTAGTGAGCTTCCTGCTGGGCTACTATAGTCCTCTCAGTCTTATTTTCTTGATAGTCCTCGTACCTGATTTTGAGTTCACCAACATCTCCTTCCTCACTGTCCTGGCACATTTCTTCCCCCTGAGGGCCAAGAAACTCCTCTTCTACCAAAGGTAAAGGGGTTGAAGAGATGTTCCTCAGGACTGGGCTTTTACCGTCCTTCTGGCTCAGTTCTAGCTCTGTCTTAGTTGAGCAGTTTCTCAGCTCTGAGTAACAGAGAGAGAAGGTCCTGTGGTTCTGAAGAATGGACAGGCAGTTTGTTTCTACATTCTTTATGCTGCCATACATCTTCCCATTTTTGGTGACCTTTCCGTTACCATACGGGAAACTTTCTAGGTCCGTCTTATCCAAAGCTAAGGAGGTTTTCTTGTCATAGGTGTATAGTGGTAGCATGTCCTGTTTGTCTAGGAAGATGGGAGACACCTCAGGGTTATTGGGTAACTTGCAGGGGATGGGATGTTTGACTGGCAGGATGTAGGGTATTTCTTTATTAAACTTGAATCCTGTTGAACATTCACTGATGCTGTCCTGGGTGCTTTTTGATTGAAAGTGCTTATCAAGTGGTTGCTCTGTGTCCAGCACAAGAATTGGTCTGTGCTCGGGGTGCTTGCACTCAAGAAGGATCTTAGCTGAAGAAGGTGGCTCCAGGCAACCCTTATCCCCAGAGAAGGGATTCCTTTTCCCCAGCATATTCTCTGTGACGATATGAGAAGACTGAGTCCTGGAGCCGCTGTCCGTTAGAGAGGAATCTATGGACACAAAAGGAGACACTTGAATAAGAGTCACCAGTAGCTGAGTGTCAGTCATTACATTAACACATCTTTGTTTTCTTGGTTAAAGAGTAATTCACAAAATATTTAGAACTAAAAGTAGCTCTAGAGTATGATAGTGACTAAGGAGTTCTGTCTTCTCTCTTCCAAGACCTACTCACAGTCTGTAATGTGTGGGTATGCATCTCATAGTGTGAAGTGAACTTTATAAACCATACTTTGAAAGTGGCAATAAAATAAAGATTCAATCATCTCACTAACAAATCCAACCAATCGATTAACACTGGAGATGTTGCTCAGTTTGCAGCGGTGCTGATCTCAGCCTCAGTTGTCGGACACCATTACTCATCAAACCAACAACAAAACATTCTTCCCAACCCAGGTTGTTTCTTAGTTCATTAAGTGAACATTAAATAATCCCCAACTGCAATAATACATACATAAAGATGATTGTATGGTCATCACTGGTCAATACCTTTTTTAATTAAATCTATCTTATCCATATCAATATATTGCATATTTAATTTGTTTCTAACAATACTGAGTATTGATTAAGAGTGTCTGTGTCATGGCGAATACAGTCGCTGCTTTATTTATGTCTGTAGGCCGTTGTTGTGAGTGTGGACGGTCGGAGCATATACAACGTTAGCTTAGCCGATCTCCATTTAGAAAACACGCATTTTAAAAGGTTTTTCCCCTGCCGTCTGTCTGCAGACTTGTCAAAGCATTAATTCATGGTTTTTACTAACCGGTATCAGTATGTTGTTACTTCGGCATTATTTTGAAACGTGTATTACAATCAAATCACGGTCAAATATGTTCATGTTGTTGTAGTTGTAGCCCCCTTGCCAGCGATTCTCTCACTAGTTTAGCATACTCAGCCCGGTTGTTGGCCCGGAAAGAACCTGGATTTTGTAGAGCCAGAAAAACTGTGAAACAGTACCCGTTAGCCGGAACTACCCCGGGTTTGGCACGGCACGCTTAAACCGTGCTCCGCGCTGCAGTGGAAATGCGCCATAAGTATGACAGTTCACTTCGTCTATTTCCAGGTCTGACATTTAAAGCAGACGATGGTACATACTCTCTCGTACTCTCATACTTTATGTTAGAGGCATCATGTACCTGCTGTTCAATAGATAGATAGATTCAAAGATTTGTAATGTCATATACACAGCTACAGTGTAGTTCTGTAATGAAAACTTGTGTCACAGGTTCCTCAAACAGACATTTAACAAATATTAAAAATAATCTCTTCATGTGGAGTTTATACATGTTGACAGTTGTTTTTTGAGTTGGTGACACCTGCAGCTCATCAGACAAAAGCCTGATGTGATGATTAATAACTACTTCCAATTGCACACAAACATTAATACACAGGTCTACTTAGGATGTCACTTAACCTGTTAAGCCCTGAGCCTGTTTTTCAGGTCTCAGGCTCGAAAATGACATTCCCAGAACAAATGACCATATCTTCCCTTCTAAAAGGGTTAAATTAATAATCTTTTTTCTCAAAGTAACGATAAACCTGTGAGTTGGATGTAGAAAAGTCAGAATCAATATAGATGTTTTTTATTTGAAAGAAAATTCAGATTTTACATAGTAAAAAACTGTAAATTATAGTGTCCGTCCAAAAATTATTTTGTACTTATAGTAAAAACCACCCTTGGATGATGGTAAGGTAGACTAAAAGCTTTAGGAATCCAAAGTACAACATATAATAAGTACCCTGTATCAAGAGTGATGCAAAACAAGTGACATTTGACCTTTTTAGAGAGATTTAGCAAAAAGAAACCACTTCTGGGGTCATTTGGGTGGATTTTCCATATCTCTGGCCCCCCTTGCTCAATTTTGATGGTTGACACCTCTTTCTGACAGTTAGAGCCAATAGAATCGAAGGGGGAGTCCCCCACACACACACGTTGTGAAGAGAAAAGGTGGGGGCTTCGCGCATGTAATTTTGCATCAGAGTGAACCTATCTCTAGCTTTGATATCTGGAAACGGAAAAGCAGTTTTAATGCTTATGGATTATCAGAAATCATTTCAAAGGGACACAGACACATTAGATTAACCTATGGATTAACTTCAGCAGCGTTTTTATCGTTTTAATGCCATTGAAGACCACTTTGGAGAGACTACAGAGCCAAGGTAAAAATGTTAGCATTTTTAGCTACCTAGCGTCACCTGTTTTGATGTCTGTTTTTGCTTATAACGTCGCCATTTCGTATAATTCAGTGATAATGTGAGTACCCATCGATTCTGTGTCACCTCACGATGTCATGGATGTAGAGAAGAGATAAATAATAAGGTTTTGTGAGTGATTTTCGGTGCAGTAAGGTGTTAGCATTTTTCGCTCGTTGCTAATTCAGAGGCTCAGTGTTAGCATTGTGGGTTTTATTTAATTTTTTTTTAAAAAAAAGATCAGTTCGATGAGTTTCTTCCCGTTACATGGATATAAAACATTCATAGTTTATTAAATGAACATGCCCTCAGACACTGTTTCCTGCAAGATGTTGCGGCAGTCCCCCGGTACCGGGGTCTCTCGGGAAGTATTAAGCATTAATACTACATATTACCGTTATAATGATCCTCATAATGATATCAGATTGTACAGCCAAAAGACTTCCCTCAGACTTCTATTGATCTGTATTGTGATCTCTTTGATGGTTCATCAGCAGTGGATACAAGATAAGCATTATCTAAGTGGTGTCTCAGCATGACATGACTCACCGCTGCTCTCGTCTGCGGCCCCGTCCAGCTGGGGGATGGACAGGTTGGCGAACAGGGAATTGTTCCCGCTCCAGTCCATGTCTTCATCAGAGGACTCGTGCTGCTCGTCACTGAAGCCCTCCTCTGGCTCCCTCACTCCGTGTCTTTACACAGGGAAGACAGGGAGGCAGATTAAACAATGCACCGGCATATTCTTTATATCACTGCTAATGTTTGTCCTGCTTGTGAATTATATTACTCTTTCTTGGTGGATGGGCAGTAATCCACTAAAGACCTATAGTGGATGACGAGTACTGATATTAGCCGGGCAGTGCATACCAAATTGATGGCCTGCCTACAGATATGTGCATCTTTTTCGTTTGTATTAAGGGTTGTTTATAGAAAATGTCAATAAAGTGTATGACAACATTATAAAGAAAATGTAAAGAAAGCAACCATATCTCCAATGTGTAACGAGCAGCCGTTAAAGAAAAATAAAGGGTTAGATTGGCAAAACACTTCTCAAATTGAAATCTGATTTGATCTGATCTGAAATTAACAGAATTGCTCATCTGAGCAGTCATTTCATGCCAGTTTTTATTCTTTACAATTAACAATAATGCTACAATTACATTTCTGTTGGTCACCCATTATTACATTATTACTGTTTGGCCATCATTTGCTATTAAATTGATTTGTATCCAAAAAAACGGGAAAAGTTTATTAGATGAATGCATTTCAGTGGAGACAGACACACTTGCCTTGGTGTGGGAGAGTGGTCGGGAGGCTCGTTGTCCCACCGCTGGGACATTATCACGCTGAGCTCGGCCTCGTCCTTCTCCATCTCAGGCTCTGCCTCCTCTTCATCACTGTTGCAGTCGTAGCTTCTGGCACCAGGGAGTGACTGGGACTGGGGGTTCTGTCTGACGGGGGTCCTGCAGAAGCCGTCGTTCTCCAGTCCTGCCAGCAGCTCGATGAAGGCTTGGTCCTGGCTGCTGTCTGCATGGACAACAAGGACAGGACATCACTAAGCGGCGAGCAATGACTTTAAATGTGGCTCCAAATGAATCAATTAAATAGAAGCTATAAAAGTTATCCTTTTTGAACCCTAGACTTCTTCACTTTTTTATTCACTTTATTTGCAGGATTTAGCATTGTCACCACATGTTAGGCAGCCATGCACAATCAGTCAGCCATGTCAGTGGGACACACAAAATCCCAAAGTCCCTATGGACTCAGGAGTAAACGAGGTTTGGGCTTCACCTGTTCTGTCATTTATTTACTTTTTGGCGAATATACACCATAAGAAGTGACGTTGAAATCGATTGAAGCATCTAATGTTTGCACTGTGACCATGATAACAATAACCTTGTTTTTTTTGGAGTATAACAACTTATATGTGCAGCTTTTTCTCCCTGTCTGTAAGCGATCAATTGAAGAAGCACAACATTTATGATTTAAATCAGATGTACTGAGCTGCTGTAGTACAGTCACAGTACCTGTTTCACCAGTCCCTATAACAATGCACTGTTATTGTTGTGTTCATGGCTCCTAGTAAGTGAAATGTTATTTAGCTTTTTGGTCAATAAAATGTCAATGCAATTATTTCGAGGGAGGCTGTGGCTCAGTGGATAGTGTGCTGGACTTCGAATCAGGGGATAGCAAGTTTGAGTCCCACTGTAGTCAGCATGTCGTTGTGGGCCCTGGGCAAGACACTTCACCCCAAATTGCTCCTGTGGGGATTGTCCACAGTACTGAATGTATGTAAGTCGCTTTGGATAAAAGCGTCTAACAAGTGACATGTAATGTAATGTAATGTAATTTCAAGAGAATTCTTAATCGAGAGGTGTAGACTGTAGTTACAGTCCACATTTTGCGTGAGATATAACACTAACTAATTATGTTATCATTTTATAAAAAATGTTGAGAAAGTAGAAGATCATGGACAAAATAGCATTTAAAAAACGAATAAACACAGATTAATGAACAATAAACGTATTTATGATAACAGCTTCAAGTTTCAATTACATTTTTAACCTTTTTGTTTACCTAACAGGGGCGAGTGGCTGGATGTCTGGGAGAGCGGGAGGAAGGTCTGGCTGTTCTCCAGCAGACTCAGGATAGCCTCCTCGTCCACCACCGCCTCCTCCGGGACCTTACTGCTGCTCCTCACAGGCTCTGAAACGCCACATTAATACGTCAGCAGGACCTCCATTGAGAGAAGCCAGGTCAATCAACACACACACTTTCCTTAGAGAAATAATAATAACTAGAGAATGCAATTCCTGAAGAAATTGCTAGTGGGAATGCTTTATGCTTAAAATCTGACGCTAAACTGCTATGCTGAAATGTAATGTGTAAGAAGAAAGTGAAGAATTTAGATTGAAATGATACATGAACACTGGGGGCTTGAATGTGTGATGAGAGAAGAAAAGAGAGTAAAAAGGCTTGGAAAAGCAGCAGAATATTTGAACTGCAAACCTTTGAACTAACTTGATGGTGAATGATCTGTCGCCATGCCAACGGCATTTGATGACATCCCATAATAAGATTAGATACGTTGATGGCTGCATCATTACCAAACCTGTGAAGTTTTGGGCCATTTGGAGCATTTTCACTGAAGTTATGAGAAAACCGTGTTTCATGGCGGGCATTGTGTTGCCATGGCAACGGCATGTCCCGTAGATGTCTTCACGGCTGGACTGTTAGCACACATGTGAAGTTTGAGCACTTTTTGAACATTTTCATAGGAGTTATAGCGACATCGTCTTTTATGGCGAGGGATGCGTTTCCATGGAAACGGCATATGGTGAGATCTCAGATTTGGCGTAGAGCTGTTGAGGCATGGACCGGTGATATACAAGTGAAGATTGGGGGACGATCGGACCGTGTCCATTGGACTTAAAGCGACATCGTGCTTCATGGCAAGTGGTCTGTCGCCATGGCAACGGCATTTGATGACACCCCATAATACGGTTAGATGCGTTGATGGCTGCATCGTTACCAAACCTGTGAAGTTCATGGTTCAAGATTCAAGGTTCAAGGTTCTTTATTGTCAAACTAACATAGCTAGAGTAATTATGTCGTTGAAAATCTTATGTCACAGGCTTCTCCAACAATGCAACATAATAATAATACAGATAGTAAAAGTAATACAAAAAGAAAAATAGTTCTAAAATAAAGTGAGTATGTGGAATAGTGCAGTACGAGTCTATATACAAGTTATTGGAATGATATATATTAGATAGTAGATATATATTACTAAGTAGCAGATGAATGTTTTGAAATTGTTTCAGCAGTTCAATTGTTAACAGTCTCACTGCCCGCGGGAAGAAACTGTCTCCGAATCTTTTTGTTTTTGCCAGGATGCTGCGGTAACGTCTGCCAGACGGCAACAGAAAGAACAGTTTGTGGCTGGGGTGATGGGGGTCTTTGATAATACGTAGGGATTTCTTCCTGAGCCGCTGGGAGTAAAGGTCCTCCATGGATGGCAGCTCCGTCCTGGTGATGTTCTGTGCAGTTTTCACCACCCTCTGTAAAGCCTTACGATTGAGGGCAGTGCAGCTGCCGTACCAGGCCGTGAAGCAGCCAGTCAGGATGCTCTCTATGGTGCACCTGTAGAAGGTCAGGATTCTCTCTATGGTGCACCTGTAGAAGTTGCAGAGTATCCTGGAATCCATTTTGAACCTCCTCAGCCTGCAGAGGAAGAAGAGCCGCTGTCGAGCTTTCTTGGTGATGGTGGTGGTGTGAAGAGACCATGTCAGGTCCTCGGTGATGTGGACCCCAAGGAACCTGAAGCTGCTGACTCTCTCCACCGTAGTCCCATTGATGGCGATGGGGGCGTGTCCCTCTCCCTGCTGCTTCCTGTAATCCACAATCAGCTCCTTTGTTTTGCTGATGTTGAGATGGAGGTTGTTATCCTGGCACCAAGATGTCCATTTTTCGACCTCCTCTCTGTACGCCGTCTCGTCGCCGTCTGTGATCTGGCCGATGACGGTCGTGTCATCAGCAAACTTCACGATGGTGTTGGAGCTGTGTGTGGCCACACAGTCGTGAGTGAACAGGGAGTAGAGGAGAGGGCTGAGCACGCAGCCTTGAGGGGCACCGGTGTTGAGAATCAGGGTGGAGGATGTGATGTTTCCCACCCGCACTGCCTGGGGTCTGCCCGTCAAGAAGTTCAGGATCCAGTCACAGAGGGCGCTGTTGAGCCCGAGCTCTCTGAGCTTGATGGCCAGCTTGGAGGGCACAATGGTATTGAATGCTGAACTGTAGTCAATGAACAGCATTCTCACATATGTGTTCCTGTTCTTCGGGTCCAGGTGTGAGAGGGCAGTGTGGATGGTGAGGGCTATGGCGTCGTCTGTGGACCTGTTTGCTCTGTAGGCAAACTGCAGGGGGTCCAGAGAGTCCGGGAGGGAGGAGGTGATGAATGATTTGACTAACCACTCAAAGCACTTCATTATGATGGAGGTGAGTGCTACTGGGCGGTAGTCGTTGGGGCAGGTGATTATTGTCTTTTTGGGGACAGGAACGATAGTGGAGTGTTTGAAGCATGTGGGCACTACAGACTGCAACAGGGACCTGTTGAAGTTTTGGGCTGTTTGGAGCATTTTCCCTGAAGTTATGAGAAAACCGTGTTTCATGGCGAGCGTTGTGTTACCATGGCAACGGCATTTGAAGAAACCACATAATTGACGTAGAGCTGTTGAGGGCTGGACCGGTGATATACAAGCGAAGTTTGGGGGACGATCGGACCGTGTCCATTGGACTTACAGCGACATCGTGCTTCATGGCGAGTGGTCTGTCGCCATGGCAACGGCATTTGATGACACCCCATAATACGCTTAGATGCGTTGATGGCTGCATCGTTACCAAACCTGTCAATGTGACATCATCGTGTTCCATGACACAGGTGTTTATATTTGAGCTAACGACGACAGCTGTGTGTCACCAATAATGTATAAAATAGGTGGAACATGTTGAAGTCAGTATGAAGTCTCCATCAGACAGAAAAGAATAGGCTCATACAGTCTGTTAAACTCCAGTGACCACGTCGTTCGCTCAAACACGAACACCTGTGTGTTATGACATCATCGTGTTCCATGACACAGGTGTTTATATTTGAGCTAACGAGGTGTGCAGAGATCAAAAGTTTAAAGTTAAAGTTAAGTTAAGTTAAGTTAAAGTTAAGTTAAGTTAAAGCCTTTTATTGTCATTGTACACAGAGTACAACGAGATTCAGAGTGCAAAAATACAAACACATACAGAACACTAAAAAACACGGCCATAGGACAGACACCATAAACAATCATACGGGGGAATAAATAGTTAAAAATATTGATATAAAAATAGTATATAAAGTGCATTAAAAGTGAAAACGTGAAGCATGTCAAGGAAGTTGAGTATCTGAAGTGTAATTTTTGTGTACTTTCGGGTTAATAATGTGGCCTTTTTGGCAGTTTAACTAAAAGGTGTGCGGTTGCTGCTGTGAGGAAATATCAGCCTGAAATTACAATGGGTTTTAATGGAGACATGTTGAACGTTTTTGTCACTTCATGCCCTCGAGAGGCATTTTGTTTAATTATTTTGCTTAATTATTTGTCATTTTTCAAGCTACGAGATGTTTTCCTACGTTTGTCATGAAAAATTATGTCTCAGGAATGTAGGGTTTGGGAATTATGGCAGTTTAAAAAAAATATATGAAGGCAAATTTCAAGATTTCCTACCCTCTAGCTCTGACATCACGCACTCTGCCTTAACGAGCTGCGCAATGTTAAAGTTCAAATGTTAAAAATGTGATGAATTATGGGATGTATCTCTGGAATTATGAAAGTTATGAATGATAAAAGTAATAGCCATCGATTCCCGACCGAGCTGAACGTTTTGATGTTTGAACGGAGTTTCTGCGATGTTGAATGTGGGAGGAGAAGAGGGCCAAAATAACTGTACGGAATAATAAGAATTTTGTCCGTAGCATAACATATAGTTGGAATGCTGTATCAGCATTCCCACTAAATAATAATAATAATAGACTTTCTTTTAAGAATGAGGGAACAGTGGCATACTACATTTAACTAGAATTACATATTACTATCCTATTAGACATTTGTGTGAATTCGTGAGTTATGGTCAAAACGATGTTATTATATCACGACGACCATGATCTTCTCTTTTTTAAACTCTCCAATAAAGAGACAGTATTTCAGCATTAGCAGCTCTCAGCGGTTGGCCTTACCTGGCTGGGAGGGCCTGTGCTCCTCCACAGCATTAGCTGGGGTGCAGGGCAGGGCTTCAGGGGTCCGGGGGGCCGAATGGAGAGTCATTTCATTGAGAAGGTCTTCTTGGTCCTCCCTGTCACTCACAGAAGAACATGTCTATTAGGCGCTTTCACACCGGAGTACTTTTCCCCGCATAGTACTAGTGCATAGTTTCAGTGCATAGGTACTTTCATGGGAGAAAAAGGTTCCCATTTCTGATTGGCTGGGCGGATTGCAAACCACGCCCCGTAAAACTCCCAAAAAGCCGCCATTTTATTTTCCTCGCATTAGCATTATTAGCATTAGCCCAGCGCACAAACGGAGAGAGACTTAAGGCCCGGACACACCAAGCTGACAACAAAGAACTGACACAGACGGACCCCGACTGTTGCGTCGCCTCACGTCTCTGCGTCTTGGTCATGTGTCGCACTAGAACACACCGCAAAGACTTCAGCCGACGGCCAAGAAGCACGTACGAACTGCGCATGCGTGAGTGGCAATAACTCTCCTTACCAGCAGGCGGCGGTGTGTGTAGTGTGTATTTGTCATTCAAAAGAGGCAACAACCGGAAGACAGACTGCGTGATAACCGAGAGAAGAAGAACAGACTGCGTGATATAAACAAACAACAAATAGCGTGTGCGTTCCATTTTCACTCTACAGCGAGAAGCTCATGGGGCTTTCCCCAACCTGTGTCGAGAGCTGGAGTTAAATGAAATCTCAGATTTGCCTTCTTAATAGTTTGTTTGGGTCCCTCACTTACGTTTCGCTTCTCATGCACTGATTCGCTAGCTGAACAGCCAATCAGAGTGATTTATTTTGCCGACTGCCTTTGGCCGACTGCCCGTTTCGGACGAAAAGGCGGCGGCCCGGCTGAAAAGACCCGACGGTGCGGGACACACCAATCTGAGTAGGGCGTGTCGACGCTCATCGACGGCCTGACGCCCACCGACGCCGATAATCGGCCTGGTGTGTCCGTGCCTTAACTTATGGCAACAAAAAAGAAAACATGGGAGCGGTGGAGATGAGGAGGTGTCGGTGTTTCTGGCGATTTACTCGGAAGGCTTCAGTAGAAGCTTCTACTGAAGCCAGTCCCCAACTCCGGGGACTTCCGGCCGGGGACTTCGGGTGGCAGTATACGCCATAGATATATATAAACACTAGATGGCTCAAGGGGGAGTCGCCAGCGTAGCTCACCGGTGGCCATCTTGCCACAGTCAACAATAACTACTGCTACAGCTGTTGTAAGGTGAGTGATCTGCACAAGAATACTCTTAACTCGCTGAAATCTTGACTGATTTACAAACGGTTGGTTTATTATAAACGTTATTAGCATGGCTATGATACAGGAGACAACAAGATATGTTGGAAAAAAAAGTCCATGATTATAATTATAAGTATGCAGTATCATAACTACATATTTGATGTTGATAACAAACCAAACCGTTTGAAAATTGGTTGAAAATTGAGCAATCTACGGTTATTTCAATAGTGCACCTAATGTTATGAACGAGCGAGCTGCCTGTGGCAAGATGGCCGCCATGTGGCAACGTCGGTCTCCATTGGCCAGCAGCGCGGGTGAGTCATCTAGTGTTTATATATATCTATGGTATACGCCGTGAAGTTGTTTGCGGCCTGCCAGTAAACCCAAAGCAGAAGAAGAAGAAGTGACGTCAGAGGCTTCATTTGCCTCAGGGACTTATTCCGGTGTGAACGCGATCTGCTCTTTAGTTCATCAGAACTAAAGAGTTCTGATGAACTAAGTACGGCAAAGTACTTGGTGTGAAAGCGCCTATTGTGTCCTGAGCAGAGAGACACTGAAATTGAGTCATGAAGATAATTCCTGCTGTATTTTCACATGATATAATTATTGATTTTCAGCTCAAGAATTCAGGGAAAACCTAACTATTCAACACAGAAAACACAAACTTTGATTCATTTATTAAAATCTTTAAAATTATTTTAGTGCTGCTTGCAGTCTTTAAGCTAAAGGCCGCTACACACCCACCTGAGACCAAAGAACGGCGTCCCGAGTTTTACGTCAGCTACGTCGCCTGCGTCGGCTACGCCGCCCGCTACGCCGCCCGCCTACGAACACACCGCAAATACTTCAGTCGACGAGTGGCAATAACTGTCCTTACCAGCAGGCAGCGGTAGTGTGAACAGCCAATCAGAGTGATTGCTTGGGCCGACTTTCTCTGACCTCCCGCGGCCGATTCAACATGTTGAATCGCCCGCGGGAGGTGTGAAAAGGTGCCGTAAAGAGACGACGGTGCGGGACACACCAACCCGAGTAGGGCGCCGCGACTGCCCGACTGCCTCTGACGGCCTCTGACTCCCAAAATCGGGTTGGTGTGTAGCCAGCTTAAGACACCCAGTTGAAGTTAAGCAAATACTCAGAACAAGCACACAGAGGCCGAGACCTGACCCCCCTGTGTACTGTATGTGTACACACAGGTGATGTGTGACAGCTGTGTGTGTGTATGTTGTGGAGCGAACGTTAACAGAAAAAGGGCGGGCAGCTGCAGATCAGCAACCCTCCAGATCGCTCTCCTTACCATCCTACTGCATCGACTAGCAACTCACCACTGAGGAACCCTGAAATATTCAAATGTAAACCAGCAGGCAGCCGCTCACATGTGAGAACATGAACACTACAAAAACTTGAAGATTTGCTAAGTTTATACCTCTAATATCTAGTCAGAATATGTCTTTACACTTGACATAAGACCTTAACTTAAGAAGTATCAAGCAGTGAGATATACAGTAGGGTCTTGTTTCTAGACAATGCATCTTAGGTATCTTTAAAGTCAAAGACTCTTGAAAGCATATTATATTATACGTTTTATCTCAGATGAAACGGTTTTGTTTTTTTTGGGGGGGAAATCACCAACTAATCAGAACATAGAACACTTTTGAGCATTTCTGGCTTATTCTGTAACACAACATTTCCTGATTCTGCAAAATATAGCTCAAAATAAGTTTTCCCGACTATTTACAAGAACTGATTTCTCTAAATATCCTGTCTTATTTCAAGAAATCTGACAAAGCAAATGTTCACTTGTTCTATTGGCAGATGCTTCGCTTATGACAAGGGGAAACACCTTCTTTTTTTATAATTTTTAGTTATTTCCAGTTAAATCAATGTTTTCAGAGTTTTTAAATCAGCTGACATCTTGCAGCTCTGAGGTTGGGCTGCCAGCCAGAAAGATGCTGCTGCAGCGGTCTCATCGTCATTCAGTCTGCTCTGCGGCTCAATGAGAGAGTGGGGGGGGCTCCAGGGAACAAAGCATCCACGTGCCACTGTCTGCCTGTCTCTTAATTAGTCTGCTAGCAAGCGACTGTAGAGGCAACGAGGGAGCGAGCCTGGCAGGCAACAGGAGATTCTGCAGCAATTAACACATTTTACTACCAAGCACTAAGTGTGTGTGTGTGTGTGTTATGTGTGTGTGTGTGTGTGTGTGTGTTTCCTCTTTTCCTGTCTCATATTAGAGGTTAGTGAATGGGAGCCATCTGGATCTGGTGCAGAGGAATGCATGGCTGCCAAGCCAACTGTACTTTTATTTAAAAGGAAATACTCTGCCTGTACATGGTGGGAGTAGAAGGAGGGGTGCTATCTCATCGACATCATTTCACCCCCCTACACCACAACCCCTCAAAATATCTGTTCGCAATTCACTTTCTCCATCCCTCCCCTGCCCTGCAAGCAGAGGGTGGGTGAGGACATGCTCTATGAAGATTCCCAGATGAGGAGCTCTGGATGCATGTGGACTGGGGCTCACTAATGTGACTGGAAGCATCTTGTGCTTGTTTACAAACGTTGTTTGTTTCTGCTTGCCAGGGAGGGGCAATCGCCAGTGAAATGGGATAATGTCCAAGAACAACTATTAGATTCAATGAGTTCAGAAACATCTGATTTCCATCAGTCCAAAAGCGATAGTAGATCGGAGGAAAGAAGAGGAACTTACACGTCAAAATCATTCTCCTTCAGAATCTCCTCGACTCTCTTCATGAAGAATTTCTCGCTCTCTGTTGAAGTGACAAACCCACGATCTGGAAAACATCAGACAAACGATTTTAATGTGCATTCATTATTCCCGGAAAACTGCAAACAAAGATTCCTGAGGGGTGCTCCGCCTATATGGGCAACTCTCCACCTATCAGGGGAATGAGAGACCGCTCGAAAGCTCTGGAGACGCTGTAGTACATATGCCAGGCCTGTAAGTGGCGCTGTAGTCTGCCACAAAAGCAGAATCAGCCCTTGCAAAAACAGGGCTGGAAAAGAGCAAATAGAGCGAAATGAGGCATGGCTAAAATGCATGATCTGTTTGGTATTTTGAAGACATGTTTTATATAGGTATGGCCCTACAATATATGTTTCAAATATAGCTTGATAGGTCCACTTTAACTTAAAGTGAGTGTTTTTATCATGATCTGTGATTTACTCTTATATCCCCTGGCTAGTGTCTTAGACTCTATTGTTGTTAGCACCATGAACACACACTGGGCTTTACTTTCACTCAAACACACACACAGGCTTCTATCTACACTGTCCTGCTGCCACAAACACTCACAAGTGAACCAAATGTGGATTAATCGGCAGCTGGAAATAGTCCCCAAGAAACGCACTATATCCTCCTGTTGAGTACATTTAGCTACAAAGTACAATGACCAGCTGTATTAGGTCATCATTTGGCCATAAGTAAAAATATAACAGTATTACGGACCCAAAAATGCACGTCTTCCATAGAGGGAAGTCAGGAAGTATTGAGAAACAAACCCATTGTTGGTGTTGATCTTTATGGGACACGTTGAGAAAAAAAGAAAAAAGCTTGCCTTATTCTTTAAAGTAAAAGCATTCTCGTAGGTTTCTGTCACTTTGAAAGTAAACTGTTCTGACCTTATTGGCACAACAAAGACTCTGTGGATCTGCTCACCTTGGGATTCTGGGGTTTCCATCTGGGACTCCTGGTTCTTCTCTCTCCTCCTCTGCTTCTCGTCCTCCCAGATGGCCTGCAGGCCCGGGTTCCTGCCGATCTGATCTGAACAGAGGAGAGTCGCAGAACAAAGTGTCAGCTAACAGAACTATCAAGCTGTACCTCTGTCAATGAAGAGTGTTTAACCTGCAACAAAGGCAAAGTGTAATGTTAAGCATAACTGACATTCTGTTATGAGTCCCATCACTGTCTGCCCTGGAGTGGCCTTTTTGTTCTCCTTTCTTGACACTCTCAACCAGATGCTTGATGTGGTTTACAGTTCTACATCCAGCCTGGTCTAAATCATGAGGAGTGGCTGCATACCTCCAGCCTCCATGCACATTCACTCATGAACAATACTTTCAGCCTGGTTAACATGTTCGCTGAGCTGCTCTCTAAAGCTCTAACACACTTGTGGCTTCAGATCCCAGCAAAAGATGAACGGCTGTACGTACCAATAGCCGCATTCACACCGCAGTACTTTTCCCACTTTAGTTCCGATATAGTTCCGAAATGTCGCGTTCACACCAAAAAGAGCCGGAACTAAAATTAGTTCATGAGAACCTTTTTACCCCCTTTTCCGTCCCTGCTGGAGAGCAGGTACTTTCGTGGGAGAAGAAGGTTCCTATGTCGGCTGGGCGGATTGCAAACCACGCCCCGTAAAACTCAAAAAAAGTTTTGTGAAGCCGCCATTTTATTATCCTTGCATTAGCATTATTAGCATTAGCATTCGCCCAGCGCACAAACGGAGAGAGACTAACTTATGGCAACACAAAAGAAAACATGGGAGCGGTGGAGATGAGGAGGTGTGGGCGTTCTGGCGATTTACTCTGAAGGCTTCAGTAGAAGCTGCTGGGAGTCCCAGCAGCTTCTACTGAAGCCAGTCCCCAACTCCGGGGACTTTGGGCAGCAGTATACGCCGTGAAGTTGTTTGTGGCCTGCCAGTAAACCCAAAGCAGAAGAAGAAGAAGTGACGTCAGCGGCTTCATTTGCCTAATCCTCCCCCAGGGACTTATTCCGGTGTGAACGCGATCTGTACTTAGCTCATGAGAACTAAAGAGTTCTGATGAACTAAGTTCTCATGAACCTTTGTGGGAAAAGTACTGCGGTGTGAATGCGCCTCATGTGTGAATGTTTTATCAAGAAACCACAACAGAACACTGCAGCCTTGTGATTACCTGCCAATCTGACCTGCTTTAGCTGAAGGGATAAAAAAGGCAAAAAGCCACATTGTGACTTTACGAGCATGGTTCAGATTGAAACCCTGGACGAGGACATTTCTGTGTTTCCCAGAGAGGGAGACGATAGCCTACAACATGAGTGTTTTTGTTAATTAAAGCATGCCATGTTTTTCAGCTTTGGTTTGGACTCTTCCTTTTAAAATCTTTTTAGAAGTACAAGCATGGGCATATGTCTTAGTTACAGTCTTCAGAATCAGAATTCCTTTTATTCTGAAGACTGCAAGTAAGAAATAGTAAGCCCATGATGAAACCCAGAAATATATTGCCTGAACATTTAGAAAACTGCAACAAAAGGCAAAGACAAAGTGACTTAATATGAGGTGTTCATATTGTGCAGAAAGGAGCAGAACCCCACAGAAACAGTGGTTGCATTTGTTGCATAGCTTTGTCAGATAATGCCATGGGCTTAATGGGTTTTGTTTAAATGTTGTATATTCCATCCTGTGTTCCCTCATCTCGCTTAACCTATCCCCGCCACACAGTGTTTGTGTCTCATGAATTTGATATGTGGAGATGGTGTGAGATGAGTGAAAGTCAGCCAGACGAGGTGCATCTCACACTGAGTCGCACCCTCAGTCATCTTACTTTCAATTTCCAGGCGGTTGAGGACATCTACTGCCACTGCATCCACCTCCAGCTCACAAGTGCTCTGCCTCTCCACCTCATCCAACATCAGGGAGCTGCAGTGGACACACACACACACACACACACACACACACACACACACACACACACACACACAACACACACACACACACACACACACACACACACACACACACACACACACACACACACAACACACACACACACACACACACACACACACACACACACACACACACACACACAAGAATCATACTAAAGTAGCAACAAAATGCTACAAGGCATCCTATACAAAATGATGTTGTACCACTTGTTGGAAAGTTAGACTGTTGTGACTTTCTTTTTTAAGGGAATAACTGCAGATAGACAAGATTAAATGGTTTAGAGAAATTATATATAATTATATTTTAGCTTCAAGGTTGGTTATTGCTATTATTAGGGGGTATCAGCATTTCAGTAAGAGCTCCTTCATTTGACAGACTGGGGGGGGGAACTTACCAGGGCAGAGCGCTCTCCTCCCAGCGGACAAAAGTGCCCCCCAGGGTGCTGTCATTGAGCTTGGCGGTGCAGGGGCTCTTCAGAAGGCTGATGCTGGGAGTGTGCCTGTGTGGGGCTGCTGCTGCGTCTCCTGCAAACACACAGCAGAGAACCTGGTACTGTACACTCTGAGAGGAGCTGTCATCACCTGGCAAGACTATGAAACAATATACAGTTTGCTCACGTGGTAAATGTGATGTCAAATATAAGTGGGATAATTTAATCATCTGCAATGATTGAGAAAGTAATCTCAGAACTGTGGAAAAAGCTTAAGATTTCTCTTTGCGTGTCAGAATGAACCGCCATGCTCAACTCTTGAAGTGGTAGACATGTGTTCTTGAAATGAATCTTGTAGCTGGTGAAACTGGCATTCAGGAAATATTCTAATTTTTAAAACGATGTGGGTTTCCTTAGTTTTGTTGACATTATAACATTGCAGGAAATTGGATTATGAATCATCATTGGAGTTTACAATGGTTAGATGAGGATAATAATAATGTGTTTTTATTCCAAATAAGATAGGCTAACCTCGGGTTTGCCTAAGTTGGCCTTTTTGTAGCAGAATGTCTCTTATCTTAGTGAGGATAATGGTGGTTAGAACTACAATAAGATAAAGTATTTGAAACAGTGTAGTGCAGTGGTGGGGGTACGCAGACTCCTAGGGGTACGTTGGAGTACTGCAGGGGGTACGTGAGATTTATTTTATGTTAATGAAGAAAAACAACATAAGTAATACATTTAAACAAACTATTAATAGTAGATTAACTACTTTATTCAAAAGTTTACAGTAATTCTGGATAATAAAATGGGAGAAATAAACGGAGCGGTCTCTCTCCCTCTCTCCTGACAGCCGGTCAGCTCACTGAACCTGTAATAAGTGACCCGACAGTGAAGAATAAACATATTTATAACTTGTTTAGCTAGTTCCAGAGTAGATCAAATAGCTAAGTGTGATGGTCTAACTCTTAGTGTGTGTTTTGCTCTGCTCACCGCTGCAGGTGATCATGCAGAGCTGCGTGTCTCCGTCAGCAGGAGCTGATCTCTCTCTCCCGTCAGATTAGACTTCACTCGCGTTTTCGCCATATCGATCAGATCTAGCTAGTTCTAGCTAATGATATGACTGCCTGCTTATCAAAGGACAGCTAAACAATAAGCGCTGCTTGGCAACGGGGTGTGGCCTCAAAGTATAGAGCAGCATTATGCATTTGTTTATATGAGCGGTTATAGGTATAAATGCTCATATTTTTTTCTCTTCATTCCCCACGCCCCAAAATAAATAAATAAATATACCAATTTTAGGAAAAGTAACGAAGTTTGAGCAGTGTGGGTTTTTATATTTCAAAACGCGAAGTATAATAACTGCACTTCTCACTAAATTGTAATTACAACTTATTAAAAAGATCAGTTCAATGCAACTAATGTCGTCTTAGTGTTATTGCATGATGTTAAAATTGGTTTGCCATGAATTTAGTGATGGATTGTAAACATTTGAAATGTAGCATTTAAGTGTTTCTCAGTTACAAGGTTGTTGTTTTAATAAATCAGACACTGATGATGCAGCGCTGTACTGTACCTCTTTATATAGGCATTTTTTCCACAAACAAAGTTTTTGCGCTGTTCAGGGGGTACTTGGCTGAATTTATTTTTCAAAGGGGGTACATTATTGAAAAAGGTTTGAGGACCACTTGTGTAGTGAACCAGGCTTGAGCAGGTATGAACAGCTGTGTCGTTTTATCAAGGATATACTCTACATGTAGTATTGACAGTTGTACAGGCAGTGTATTGAACTTTTAAACACACTAATGCTTTATCCACCTCAAACTGGCCCATTATACAAAGCCAGTCCCTTTTATCATTCTCCCTCTCCATCCCAGATTAACAACTTGCTTTCAAGTTTGAGCTTGCAGGGAGAAGGAAGTGAAACAGGGGTCCCTCTTTTGGGGGTTATTCAGGATCTTTGTTGTACAGGGCATTGGAGCCTCTTTTCTCTGCTTTAGTAGGAAGGGAGTCAAGCGTGAGGATTATAAAAAAAAAACGTATTTAGGGTATGTGTGTAATTATTTCCTGAATCATGAATGCCCCCATCTATGAAAATGGCCCTGCTGTGTGTGGGGGGAGAGGTCTGATCCGCAGTGAGGGTGTGGGGGACTAAACTGTGATCAAACATAGTTTAGTCTCTATAAGCAGGAAGTAGAAATGGGCCTGTTAGAGCCAGGGTCCCCCAGGATCTGAGGAGGTGCCACTTCAGAGCCTTTACACACAGACAGCTGTGTGGCTGTGACAGATTCTCCTTTAGTTCAGGGACACCAGCACCTTTTGTTGAGGTAGCAGCTTATGTTACCATGAGGCATAAATGACAAATTAAGTCTCAATCAGTTAACCCAAAATTGTCTGGAGTCATTTATTCTAAGACTCATCATTAGGCAACTTGACCAAGAGCAAGGGGAAACCCACAACAAACAGGAAATGACCAGTATCTCTCCTGTTGACACACAGTGGGTTTACCTCTTATGCCCCTTTCCCACCAAACCAGTTCCAGTTCTAGCTCCGTGTTAGTGCTCTTCTGGTTCCAAACTGGTTCGCCTTTTTGGAACCGGTTGTGTTTCCACTGCCGTTATACTCTTTCCCAGAATGCAGTGGCTCATTGTTTACCAATAGGCGCTTTCACACCGGAGTACTTTTCCCAGGAATAGTTCCGATAGTTCTTATAGGGATTTTGCATTCACAACAAAAATATCTGGAACTAGAACTTAGTTCATGCAAACCTTTTCACCCCTTTTCAGTCCCTGCTAGAGAGCAGGTACTTTCATCGGGGAGAAAAAGGTTCCCATTTCTGATTGGCTGGGCGGATTGCAAACCACGCCCCGTAAAACTCCCAAAAGGTTTTGTGAAACCGCAATTTTATTTGCTCGCATTTAGCATTATTAGCATTAGCCCAGCGCACCAACGGAGAGAGAGTAACTTATGGCAACACAAAATAAAACGTGGGAACGGTGGAGTGATGAGGAGGTGTCGGCGCTTCTGGCGATTTACCCGGGACTCCGGGTGGCAGTATACGCCGTGAAGTTGTTTGCGGCCTGCCAGTAAACCCAAAGCAGAAGAAGAAAAAGTGACGTCAGCGGCTTCATTTGCCTAATCCTCCCTCAGGGACTTATTCCGGTGTGAACGCGATTTACTAGTAAAGAGTTCGGCGGGACTAAGTACTGGGAATTAAGTACGGCAAAGTACTTGGTGTGAAAGCGGCTAATGTGGTTCAGCGGCATTTACCCACCGCTGCAGTGATACGCTAATCTCGCCCCAGCCTTGGACGTATGCCTGACGTATTCGGTTCTCTGTTCTTGACGAGCATTTTTTGGGTGCCAGATAAGAACCGGTTTTCGGGGCTAAGAGCCGGCCCCGCTGCAGTGGAAACAGGAAGAACTGGTTATTAATCGGTCACTAGCTCCGAACTGGCCCTGGAACCACTTTGGTGGGAAGGGGGCATTATTGAATTTTTTTAATGAAACCATTATAATGTTTACCTGAGAAGTGCTAAGTCATAAACATAAACAGTAGACCAAGAACAGGAGAACGTGACACAGTAATATCAGCTACACAAAAATACATATGAGCTGTACGTATAGTTTGCTGACATAAACTAGCATAGGCCACTGTGTTTTATGGCTAATGAATGATCATGAGTGTGAATACAGGTACATTCAGACAGTATGAGAAAAACAATGTGTTTAAACATTAAAGCATGTAACCATGTATTAGTACTAAATTAGAAAAAGTCAGAGACAGCTCAACGCTCAATCTTTCCCTTTCCACACAACTTTTCTCCAGGATTATCACTCATCCCTCTGATTATCACACTTGCTGAAACTACAGACTTACAAGTAATTGTTTGTAATAGTGTCGGAGCGCCCTGACAGTATATCTGCTAGTTTGTTTTTGTTCTGTTCTCGCACCTTTTGATTGTGTATAAAATGTTTCTGTCTGTGTTTCCCTGTTAAGGGTTTTCAGGAGGCAGTGTGCCAGTAGATTATACTTTTGCCTCATTGCTGAGCAGCAGTGAGAGCACCAGGGTGACCAAATAAGGAAAAAACAATGCAAGTAATATAGAGACTAAACAAGAGGGAGGAAGTGGCACACTGCGCAAAACATGAAAAATAAATAAAGGGTGAAAAGAGAGAAAGAGCCTTAAGAAGTCAACTGAGGCTTCCTGAGGCTGAGGAGAGGCCAGGACTACCTGTAAACAACACACTCTCCAGCAGGGACTGAACACAGAAGAGTGTCCTCCTGGGAGACAGCAGGAGAAGCAACTAGCTCCACAGCACAGGGCATACAGGGTGTGAGGGCAAATGTGAGAATTCATTCAAACAATTTCTTTTTATGATTTAATTAAACAATAAAGAATTAGAAAACAATGTGTGATCTGCAACAAGTACTGTAAATCTAACTAATAAACCAAAACAAAGATAAAGTCTCTTGCAACTTCACATCAGTCGTGCACTTACTGTCACACTCGCAGTCTAACTGGCACTGAAGAACTGTGAACGTTGTGGAGTACAGGGCCACATATAAAGCTGGGGGGGTGAAGCTTTACCTTTGGGGTGGGAAGAGCGGAACTTGACAGCCCCCAGGTTCAGCAGGTTCATGCCGTACAGGTTGAAGTCTATGAAGAGCTGCAGAAGGTAGGGGATGTGGCCCTCGTGGGGCTGATACATCTTGTTCATCACGGCTCCACTCTGTAACAGCTCACACACCCTACAACAAGCAGAGGTTACTCCATATTCATCCAGCAGTCTCACCCCCCCCCCCCCCCCCACACACACAAGAAGGTCAAGGTTGTGATATGATGTTTCTAACAGTTACTTATATCATATTTATATTATCACATAACATATTATTATAAGCTACTTATAATTACTAGCTACTATTACTACTGGCTGCTACTTCTTAGGTAGTCCATTCCAACAAAATTATGTATGCTATTATTAAAATATTTGATTTGATTTACTAGTGCAATCTACCCGCTACCACTCTATAATGTTACACTATTTTATAAATACTGCTTACTTACGTATTTTCCCTGAATGTGAATTTCTGTACATTCTTTTGTTCATCATCTCTATCTATCTATACTTTGCTGTAACAATGTAAATGTCCCCTCTGTAGGACAAATAAAGGAATTCTGATTGGGATGAAAGAGCATCATTCTGCAGTGAGCTTACCGTTTGACCATGCGAGGATTGTACAGGTAGATCTTCATAAAGCGCTTCTCCTTACTGTGGTAACCATAGAAAGGCCTGTAGGAAGAAAGACTGCATTAACACACTGCCTTTAACGCTTTTCATGTTTTAAAGCCTTGTCCTCATTGTTATCTTATTCGTGTCTGTTGCACTGCTTTTTTGATCAGATCTTTACTCCATCAGCTCAGTGTGTTGTGAACAAACGGTGGATCACTCACATGCCAGAGACCAGCACCACCTTGAAGACATGCTGGTCGGAGGAAGCGGGGTTTCCCATGGCAACGTTCAGGGCCCTGTCGATGCTGAAGGCCACCTGCCGCAGGTAGCGCTCCGGCTGCTGGCCGTAGCCATCGTACGGCACGTAGATGTAGGGGAACACTCCGTGGAGGTGGAGGCACGTTTTCTGGCCTGCAACACAACACCAACGTCAGGCATACAAATGTCATTTATCCATAACCTAATGCGTTTAACATTTTAAAATGCAGAAACTAATTAAACATTTTATTCACAGAATCTTTGGCCTTTACATCACTCTTTTAGTTTGACTTACATTTATTACCATATTTATGTATCACGTTTCTTGTTTAGTGGCTCAAGTTTTAGCTTAAAACTCTTCATATCATTTAATTAAATTGGTGTCTCATAAAAAAATTCTGTAAGAAATACAACTTTGTCAAGACAGCATAAGTTCAGACTTCAATCCATTTTTGATATAGAAGTTTGAAAATATTGTCAAATTATATAATTTCATTACATCAGGCCACAACACATGTTCTGCAATCATTTAAAACACATATTAAAAGCTTTGCTTGACCCGACATGATGTTGAGTTTGTACAACATCATCTCACATTCTAATGCACTGCTCTGACACTGCTGCACTGAACACACAGATGGCCAGTCCGCCCTTACCCTGGCTGTATTCCACCGGGTCACCGCGGCGCAGACGGACCCGGTGGAATACAGGGTCTACCGCGTTTAGGAACCGTTCAGCAGAACCGAAATTGTGTATTTTGTATGGGTACCTGGTACCCGGCATTTTCTTATCGGTTCTCATCTGGAACCGAGTTTCGGTTCCCAACCCTAGAGAGGTGGGTGTTTTTCATCTGCTGGTGGACTACCGTGGAGATTTACAGCAGGAGGCGAGCACACGCTTGCCTCGGGGAGGGAGAAAAAGAGAAACAGCCAGAGCCCTGCCTCTCCCCACCTCTGCTGCTAAATCCACCGCGGAGAATAAACGGAAGGGCAACCATGGCAATCATGCTCGGGAAGTCTTCTTCGCTGCTTTTGGTGTATTTTGTGGCGGAAGTACAGCGCCACTTACAGGCCCGGCATATGTACTACAGCGTCTCCAGCGGGTCGAGCGGTCTCGTGTGAAAGGACACGTTTCTGGTGCCTATTGCGTGTGGATGGAAGACTTTTTTGATATCGAATTCGGTTCGTTTTCGTTTCCGTGTGGCTAGGGCCTAAGAACCCTCTCAGCAGCATAGTGAGATAACTAACAGAAGTACAGACAACAAATCAGTGCCAACAATCTGTGCTGGGCTGTGGACTGAGCCGGGTCACAGCAGAGGGGGCTGAGGTTCATGCTGGGGGGGGGCATCTTTGTAACATATCTGTGACTTCAGGGACAATTCTTTGTGCTGAGCTCTGTGTGGTAGTTTGTTGGAATTGACAAAGATTCCACACAGTCATCTCTTCCTGCCTTGTTTGCACTGCACATTTCAGCATCAGTCATACATGAGCATTTTATTTGTCTTTTTGTCCACCAATAAAGTTCCCCCTGTGTTTTCACCAGGATTTCAGCGGACGGTGGCCATTGCAGATTCTAACTACAACTGGTTCTACGGGCCAGAGAGCCAGCTGGTCTTCTTGGACCGCTATGTGTTGCGTAACGGCAGTGGGAACTGGCTGGCAGATCTGATCCATCAGAACAGGGTGATGGAGGGACTTCTTATTTTTACCCGTTTCGTCTCCGTGTAGACGGGGTCTAAGACGGCTTGATTTTTTCTGTAATCAGGTAGTCTTTAATCAATAGGCCATAGTGCATCTCAAACATCAAGCAAAACTGTTAGAAAAGAAACCAAAACAATCACATTTCCAGAATAAGGTAATGATTATATTGGGCTAATTTCTACCATGTTCAATATCTGCACTTGGAAAAAGAGAAAGCCAACTGAGACAACAAAAAACCAAATGGAATTGAGAAATTGAGGACACGCCAAAAGAAAAATGTCACACTTCACTAATCGGATTTTATGTTGTCACATCACAATATACGGTAGTATTACAGGCCAATTTGACTCAATCATCTGCACTTTTTTTCCCAGCATGCAACCAAAGTGTCTGTTGAACACACACACATAAGCTGAGCAGCTGAAGCCTCAGATAGGCCTCTGAGCATCCCTCCCTGACACTTCCTGACCCAGGCAGCACAGATGGTGAGAGGGACACAACTGAAACACCATGATTTATGACAGACATGCAGGTGCCAAAGCAGCCCTTTAGCTTAATTCCTAAACAGAGAGGATTGTGGGTGGACGGAGTCAATTGGGGTCTTGAGAGATGTTAAGTGAGGTGAGCCGCTGGAGAGAGAGAGGGAGATACAGTATTTATAAGAAAAGTGGTGTGACATCATCACTCCCAGACACATTGCTTAGAGTCATCCGAGGTGAACATGCTGCAGACAGACTGCACCGTCCCATTCTCTCTGTCAGCCTGGCACAGAGCTCTCATCTGCAGACCGCTGGAGGAGCCTGCATGTTTCATCAAGTTACATAAGAGATAATAACAGCTGCAGCAAAATGAAAACAAAGGCTTACAAATGTCTGAGCTGCTTACTCACTCCTCTCCTCCTGTAGCAGAGAGGCTAGCAGCAGGACAGGAGGAGGCAGTGTCGAGCAGGAGAGGGGCTCTGCCTGCTTTATCTCAGCATTGACCTACAAAAACTTGAAATCTTGTTCAGTATATTTGTCTAATATCTAGTGAGTGAAACATTTTCTTTCACATTTTCATTGGACAGCAACATTTCCTGATTCTGGTCAAATATAAACCAGCTAATTACAAGATTTCATTTATCTAAATATCCCATCTCATTTCAAGAAATCTTACCATGCAAATGTTCACTTGTTCTATTGGCAGAATTATTTTTATTTATTACAAGCGAAAACACCTTGTTTTCATTATTTTTGTACTTATCTTTGGAGCAGCATTTTTTCCAGTGTGGTAGCAGGGCACTGCTGCTCCATTGCACACACACACACACACACCTCCATCCTGCTGCTAAGGTATGACAGATGATGTGATGCTGCAGTCCCGGGGTCACAAATGCAGAGATGACAGGACCCAGAGTGGAAAAGAAATATTCTCAGCATCTGTACACAACTCCATCTGATACAGGCTTCCACACAGGAGAGGGTGATGCAAGATGAGACGTGGTGGTGAAAAACAATGAGCGTGTCAGAACAGGCCTGCTGTGAGTCTGTGAGTCTGTGAGTCAGTCTGTCTGTCTGTGAGTCAGTCTGTCTGTCTGTCTGTCTGTGAGTCAGTCTGTCTGTCTGTCTGTGAGTCTGTCTGTCTGTCTGTCTGTCTGTCTGTGAGTCTGTCTGTCTGTCTGTCTGTCTGTCTGTGTGTGTGTGTGTGAGATCTGTCCATAACGCTGAGATAAAACAGGAACATTTACATTTGTCTTTCTGTCCTTTGAGTGCCTGCTGCCTGGCTAAATGAGGACTCGTTCAGAAATGTTAAACCTATGAAGCACTGTGAAGCCAATTTAGCAAATACTCTCCTTGAGGTCCCGAGTCAGTATCTGACCTTGAAGTTGTCTTACATATTGATAATGGAATGTCGCATATCAGCAGTATCTAATGCAAGGGTCTGCTTTTGACTATCTCTGGAAACTGATCATAAATGTTAAATAACCCCAATTACTACTTTTATTATTACTGTTACGTAATATATATATATATATATATATATCGCCACACACACACAATGTTGGATTCTGCTGCAGTCGCTAAGCAACGGCAAAGCAGAAGCCCCTGACAGACAGCAGGAGATAAACAAGCTAACCAACACCTTTCTGAAACAGACATTTTGAATCTCCATACATGACAGACTTCAATCAGAGCAGATTGTTTCAATAGAGCGAGGTAGGAATCAGCGTAGGGAGCTAGTTTTCAGCGTGAGGGGGGGCTGCTGTGTGTATTCCCTCGCCACATGTGCAGTTTCCTGTCTGCCTTTGGGCTGGAAGATTTGTGAAGGAGGGAGGCAGGGGCTTATCTCAGGGGGAGGAGCGCTGAGGTAGAGGAGGTCCACTCTGCCAAGTGCCAGCCTCCCCACCCCCACTATTTTTGTTGTTATATGTTCACTTACTTTTATAATACTTCATTTAACATGTTAGTCCACTCATTGTATGTATGCATTACCTATCTATAATGTCCCCTTTGCTGTAACACTGTAAATGTCCCCACTGTTGATAAATAAAGGATTTCTGATTCTGAAGCAGGCATAATCTTAGTGGTTTTCTTAAGAAGCAATTTCCCTCGCATCAGTCCTGACTGAGTCTTGCTGCTGACTTTTTTCTTGGGAGCCAAGTTGAATTTCTCTGCCTGGTAACCAGCCATAGTTTACACTGCAATGCAGTTAGACAGCCATACCTGTTATGGGTAAAACAAGGTAATTTACTGTCAGCGCTGGTGCTGAATGACCGGAGGGCTGCACCCAGCTCATGAGCTGGAAACATATGCAAAGAAACTGAGAACATTTGCAGAACTTGTTGATTTTTTTAAGCAGCAAATCCTTATCCCTGGTTGTGTCCTGCTTTCAATGGATACTGGTTTGCACAGAAACTAAAGAAAACAATGGCTGAGCCACACTTAAAAGTGGACTAACCTTTTTGATGGACCAGCTAAGGGGGACAACTGAGCAGCCTACCCCAGCCCCCAAAAGGTAAATCCTTGATAGAAATCTCACTCTAGCACTTCTCTACACAACAGAGCATCTCTAGGGCTTTCAGCTGAGCCTACCAAAGGTCCAGCTGGCCACACTTCACCTGATAAAACACCACAATTGCAGCTTATTTGCACTTTGTTTTCCCACCACACAACCATCAGTCCACACCTATCTGCTGCTTCACCTTTAAATCTTTGAGCTGACAACTACAAATGAGTAGCCTCAAGCTGCCATTGTTAGCGATGGTGTTACATCTTGAATCAAGCCTAAAGGCCCTGACACACCAGGCAGTCACCAGAGAACTCGCCGACATCCGACACCGACAGATCCATCGACGAGTTCTCCTGCGTCTTGGCCGTGTGTCGCACTGAAATACACCGCTTTACTACAGCCGAGCACGTACGAACTGCGCATGCGTGAGTGGCAATAACTCTCCTTACCAGCAGGCGGCAGTAG